GGAGATTTATTCAACCAAAACATGCCCAAACCACCCAAGATGCTGTGATGTGTATTTTGCGCCAAGCCGGAATTTCCCATTTGCCACTCAAGAATCATCATCCCCATTCCGGGACCACCCACCAAAACTCGGCCTGTCATCCTGTCCGGGAAGATCTGGGGAGACACATACTATCAAATACTCGTGGAATCGTGGGAGGTCATAGATTATAGAATATTATATATATATATTTATTTATAGATTAATTGAATTTAATTGATTATTATAGATTTCTTAGATTTCCTTTCGTGGCGTTTGTAGTCACCTTTGCCGATCAAAACCCTCTCTGCAACCAATCGCCCGGGCCGCCATCAACCCTCGGAGGCTCAGCCCCAGTGGCAGCAGTTGCAAGACCAGCTGCTGCCTTTGTTGGAGCTCCTCAGCTAATGGTGATGGGAGATGACCAGGTCATGGCCTCTTCATCACTGTCTCAATGATTTAGGAACTTCAAAGTTCCAAGGTATGCAGGTATGATCTATAGTATTGCAGAACCTCGGTTGTGTGAAGGTGTCGATTGTTTGCAGCCTTACTCTACAACAAAGCCTGAAGAACCACCAGGGGGCTTGGAAACCCACGAGACAGGGCCAGTACTGTACTAATCATCCTGACCATCAAGGTGCAGCATTTTCAGGCTGATGCCCATGGTCGAGACCCTAGGTGGATCAAATGGGTGGTGCATGGCAAGATGTTGAACCTCCACCATGGAAGTCTTAGGTATACTATGCTGACCTATGCGGTAAGTCGACCTGTTTTGGTTGGTTGTATCATGTGGTATCAGCTTTTTGTTGACGGCATCTCCATCATTGTGGGTTGAACAATCACTGTATCCTGTGCCACATGCAAAGTGCCGAACTCTTGGAGCCTCGAGCTTTGTATTGGAGGATTTGGAGTTGGTCAGCGTTGAGCGTTTCGTTGATAGTTTTGCCATGTTTCGTCCCGTCATTGGGAACGGTCGGATCTTGCGATATCTCGCGATATCTCGTGATATCTTGCGTATGTTGCGGCTGGTTGGAGCGATGTTTTGATGGGGAAGCACTCGGTTGGGTCAACTGAGTCAGCCGAGCATAGCCCCAGTTCACGCGAGGCTCGACCACATCGGCCCCTCAGTGTGGCAGATTTCCCGTGTGGAAAAGATGAGAGGCACTCCGGTGGAGCACGGAAAGGCCAGAATGATTGAACCCATAAGATCCCATGATGATGCATAATGAGACTGATTCTTGGACCTATTTTTGTGGGAGTGTTTCAGTATGTTTCAGTGTTTCCTTGGAAAGAGGATTTAATTTATCACTTCGGCATAGCATTTGGAGTGCAGCATTCCGAAGTGCTCCAATGCTGGAGATCATTACACGGATGATATGATATGATTCTGATGATACGGTACCTTAGCTTTCCTCAGCTAAGGTTTGCCAATGCCTCCCACTTCCAGGTAAAATAAGCAGCATATTTTAGTTCATATATTATACAGTATTCTGCGCGTTACACTATGACATTTGCGACCCCCCAACATCCACGGTGAGAGTTGCAGTTTTTGATCAACTTTGGGGTCATTTGGGGTCGCCTATTTTGTGACATCTTCAAACGTTGATTCCAGCAACCAGATTTTGTTATGTTGATATCATCTTTCGGGCAGTTCAGCTGCCCCCTTATATCCTTGACTTCAGGATGGGTTGATCGCAGTCATATCCAGGAGCTCATCATCTGCCGCAAGCCCTTGGAAACATCTAGGGACTGAATCCTTCAGGCACCCGGGCAGTCACTGGGTGACCAGAAATGCAGGTGCATCACTGTGAATGGCAAGACATCTAGTGGAAACTTCAAAATGGTGGATTGTTTTATATTGTTCTGCAGTTCCAGTTTGAGATGACCAATCCCAGTAATCCAAACAATCATGCTTTTGATACAAACAATCTGTCTCGAACTCCAAGACATCTGATTTCAACGTCAGAATCCATTCAAGTCGTCCAAACTCGGTTGGTTTGATCTTCATTTTTCACACATAGTTCCACTGATTTGGAAGAGCAGACCCCACTTCCCCTCAACGCAATGCCAACTCCTTTGATCTTTGAAGGCAGGGAAATTACTGGCTTGCTGCCTACTACTACACCAGGCAGGAGGATATGAAGGTTGCTGGGTGACGGCCCCATTTCCGTCCATTTCCCCCTAACCACGGCTGGGATCTCCATTTGTGGACCACCCTCAACAGAAAAACACTTTTAGAACTCGCCGAACAATTTCAACAGGTGGATGTTGTCAGGATGACGGTGTGGCGGTGCCCTGAGAATCGTAGAAATAGTTCTCCCTCCTACTTTGAGGCTTTTACAATTGGGTCCAGCAACGATGTCAAACCATGGCTCAGAGATTGTAAACTGACATTTATTTTGTTTTTCAGAATTGTTGATTACATAATTACATACCCATTGTTGTTCGTGCATCGGATGACCTGACCAGACATGACTAGACCATGGTTGCTGCTGGTGTACTCTATTTGTTCTCATTGGTCAGCATCCCAACTTTTGCTGTTTAATAATCCATGTTTGGTTTGTAAACCCCTCTTTCAAATCCATTTTATTGGTGACATATCCACACTTTTAGGAAACCACACCGATTGTTTGCCAAAGTCTCCACAACGCTTGTTTAATTTCCCTCATGGGCTACACCAGGTGGTTAGAGCTCACAGACTTGTCCGACAAGGACAAGGTCAGCCGGGTGTGGTGGAGACATGTGGAGACATGATCTTTGTGCAATGTTGCCCTAATTTGAGGTGCTGCAATCTACAACATCCTACGGCCCTGCGGTAAGAAGGGATTTGGCATGATGAAATTTAAGATGATTGAATCAAACTTATTGACGCCCCAAAAACGAGGAGGGTTGAAAGATGTTGAACGTTGAACGTCAAGCATTGCTTCAGCATGGTCAGCCTGTAGCCAGGCTGTCGCCTACTCCAACCGAGCTGCCTGTTTCGCCAAGGTGCATGCTGGGCTCAGTGGAAGCAGTGCATCCTCTTTCGACCAAAATTGCTCTATCGTTGGTTGATTTTGGTTGGTGGTTTCAGATGTTTTGGATTTTCCATTTTAATCAATTTTCTAGTTTGGACGATAAATAAATCATAACAATAATCAATCATATATATTGTGATTATTATGTCGACAGCAGGTTTCTTCAGTACTCTCACTCAGGGAGAGAACTTGCTCAAGACTGGCTGCTGTGTATGCTGGAGATGCTCTGTCCATTTTTGGCTTGCAGATGATGAGACCAAAGTGATGCATTCGTACTATCTACAGACTTTCATGATCAAACACAGGATTATGCGGCAGGAGAGAGAAACTATTACAGCAGATTTTCTTACTTGGTGATTTTCCCTTGCGGCACAGTGCTGGAAATAGCCTGACAGGGAACCGGTCCATTCATTGTGCAGCCAGGTAATTAGGTGGATAGCAACACAAGGCATAGTTTCTCATCTGATTGGGGCGGATTCCAGTTGACAGGGCAGATCTTTGTGTGGAAGATTTGCAGGTCAAAGACTTTGAGGCTTCCTTAGCAGATGCACAGTATGCGAAGGATGGGGATGCATTAGAATCGGGACCCTATTGGTGAAGGGAATGTAAGATGACACTCTTACCATCAATGATGGGTGATCTACGGGTGGGTTCAAATTCCATATGTTGTGTAGTCAGATAGCTGCCCACTATCTCTGAATCATTTTGCTGAGCCCTCCTTCTTTGACCGTTGTCCATGAACTTGAGCCTTTCATCCGTGGAAAGTTGTAGTGTAGCAATTTGAACAGACCTTGCAAATGTCTGGAGATCACAAAGATGGGTTTCAGGCTCCCGGTAGAGATCATACCACTATGAATCAACGTGTATGCTGTATACATAGGGACATTGAGGTCATATATATATATATCAGTATGTGCTTCAATCATAAATTTGCATTAAATGCTTTGCAAAGAATCCATTCCATCAATTTCCATCATGCTTTTGCAGACAATTCATGACAATTCCATTTCATTCGATACATCAAGAGATATCAAACCGCTTCCCATATTCCCCATCTGACCGTGTTCAGGAGCTTTATCCCAGCTGGGCTCGGCCATGGGCTCGCCTGGGGGTTGCCGCTGAAGGAATGGAGGAGCCACGGTCATGCGACATCGACGGCTCCCGACAGAAGATTTGTGGATTTTGCTTGGGGTACCATGTGGTACAACATTCTGATCAATTTTGCCCGACAGCTATCGTTATGATTGAATATGATTGAGACATGCCCAATTGATCGTCCAATAGCGAAGACAAGCCATTGGTAGTCCAAACATGGCACATAACTTCGAAGTTATCGTACTTGGTGATTCATCCCACAAAGGTCGTACACCATCGGATACCCACAGCCACTTCACCCAGGATTCCAAGGCAGCGTTTCAGGCATACCGCCGTGCCGTGGAGTCTGGAAGCCCAGAAAAACAGCAGAAAAACAGCTGTTGAACTTCCATGGTTAAACAAACTAAAAACCATCATTGAGCCACTATGTCACTATATTAGGCACCAAAAGCCTCCTCAAAATTGTTGAAAATTCGAGGGGTACATGCTCCAAAAATAAAGGTCCTTAGGTGTACCAGAAAATCCTTGTGCTAAGGCTTGAACCTTCGGCGCAGCACATGGCCTTGCTAGCGGCGGCGGTTGGGGAGCCTAGGGGAGATGAGGTTGTCATGAACAAACATGGGAATATCCACCAACAATTGGTGGAAAACGAACGTCTAGGTACAGGAAAACGTGGACAATGAGCTGTAAGACGACTGGTCGATTTTGGAGGTGTGCTTGTGATCCCACCTCCCCCTCCGCAGAGTCATGGTGAGGTTCCTTCGCAGAGTCATGGTGAGGTTCCTTCCACAAAAACGATCAAAAACAGCATGTTCAATCTTTCAACCCTCTGGTTTAGAGTCTAGAGCAAATCATGCAAATCCCGAAACAACCCGACTTGTCAAAGATGTCCACCAGTAAAAGCCGCTTCCAAAGGACCACTGGTTGCGAGGCTCAAGGCAGCACCATCCGCCCCTCGCCACCATCATCCGCCCCTCGCCACCATCCCCACGCGATGTTGTCGAAAATGCGCGCCGCCATGCGCCCAGTGATGGCTGGCGCTCGCGCGAAGTCAACAATGGCAGCTGTGAATGCAGCGGTGGCGCCGTTCGATTCCCCACGATGCATTTCAGCATCCCTCGTGAATGCAGGTGGGACGGGCAAGGTGGATCGGACTGGGAGTTGGGTGTTTTACATGGGGATGGTCCAGGCCCATCAATAATGGTAAGGGTATCGTGCATTTGTGTTGTGTTTTGCAGTCATTTCATGGTGTGCGGATCCATACTGATGTTTGAGATGTTGAGATCCAGGACATTCCTGGCCATTCCCATATATATATATATATATTCCCGCCGATTCTCAAGTCATCCAGTTGTTGTTATCAAGTCACTAAAATCCGTGCTGTCTTTCAATAAATTCAGTCATAATTCTGTTTGACAGCTCAACTTGTTGGTTCGTTAGTATTCGAACCATCATCCCAAGATATCCCAATGCCAAGTTATATAATGATATGATATATATATATACACATTTACAATATTCTCCAACCCCCCACATTTGCAAATTCTGCATATCTTCGGTTGGCTCACATGCCATATTTTTTGGGCCATGGCTGGCTAGGCTAAGATCCGACAATTTTGGTGGCCATCCGCCATCATCCGCCAGGCAAACAGCTGCAGGTGGCCTTCTCGGACGGCTCCGCCTTCGAGCTGCATGGCCTCTGGCTACGAGACGCCTGCAGGGATGACCACGTGGTCTCCTCGCAGGCGGGGGAGCGGTTCCTGGATCGGCACCTCGGCGACGCGGGTTGGAGGGTGATATAAATATGATTAGAGAAGTACACAATGTCTATATATATATACATACATAATATGATATAATATGTATATATATATACACATAATTTGTCACAATTGCACAACACCAATCACCAATGTCTCTTTTGTTGTGGTTGGAGGAGATGCCAATGGGATTTCAGTCTTTTGGTCGGTTTCCTTCCAGAAAGTGTCGTGGAGCCATTGGACCCATTGGCTGCATTCACAAACACCCAAAAGGGTTCCTGTATCTGTGTGAATCTTGTTGAAACATAATCTGACCGATCCTTCAATCTTGTAATTGTGCATTTATTATATGCAGTATTCATGCAGTATCATGCAGTATCATGCAGCTATCCTTTCTGTGACATTCACTGTGGCTGGCAGAATCTTTCAGTACATGAGCAGCAATAGCAAGGTCAACAAAGCCACAATAGCAGGTATTTACCCACATATTCAACCGACAAATGCATGCATATAATATAATATATATAATATAATATATATAATATAATATATATAATATAATATATATAATATAATATATATAATATAATATATATATATGGGGGGTGATTTTAATGGACTATTATCATTTACATACTCCATAATTTAATATGATTTACAACTATTTGCGCTCACACACCGTTATACATCCATATATAATCACCAGCTGCATGCTGCATGTGACTATCAAGCGGCGCTTCCGGCATCGAGGATCTCCTTCTCACCTGAGGGACGTCACAGCAATGGAGAAGTGGCAGATGCAAAAGTCATGGACGATGGCATTGAGGTGCTTCCTCACCCATACCCTCCAGTGTAATCAAAAATGGTTAGCTGGGAAATCACATATATATTAATATACGATAATATAATAATATATACATATTTGTTCCGAACTGTGGGGATGGACCTGGGTAAATCTGGAAGTGGAAACCGTTTCTGTGTTTGAGATGGTTGTCCGTACTATGGAGAGTCTCTGAGAACCCCAAATTGTAGGACAGCGTGCTGTCATACCGTCTCAGCTCATGAGCTCAAGCAGTCCAAAAAAGTCATTCAGTGGATTTTGGCATTATCTGATCGTGTTATGGCAGAAATCATCAGGATTTTCACATCAGCACCACATCACATCGCAGATTTTCGGTGCAAGGTGACCTGGAAGGATGATCCTCAGTTGGGAGCCATCCACAGCTGTTTCTCCAGCGGATTCCTGCGGATGTACTCCTCGGTGGTTGGGCGAGTGCTGGAGGGGCAGAGACATCACCAGCGAAACCAGGTGGGAAGAGATTCGAAAAGAGCTGAAGGTCATGAAAAAAAGGTGGAAAGAATTGCATTCCAATGAGATTCCAATGATTCCAAGGAATTTATAAAATCAAACCTGGAAACGAACAGACAACTTTGGTTACCTCATTTGGTCATCAGTATCCATCTGAATTTTCTACATTTAAACACATTTGTTGATTTTCTCCACCTACAACCCCAAATGATTTCTGGCACTCGCCAGGACTTTCAATGGCTTCGAGCATATTCCGGATTCGCCGGTGCTCCTTCACCAGATTTGTCTCTCAAAAAACTCTGGAAAAATGAAGGTTCAGAGCAGTTTCAGCATCGAGACTCTTGGATTGTTTGGATTTCTGCATTTGGATTTGGCAAATTACGTCAACTCTCACTAGAAATCGTCGCGTTGAAATTGATCGAAAAGTTGGTGGTTCAGTCCTTAGGAAATAGCGGAATCCATGAGTCAAGCTGAGTCAAGCTGGTATGGTTTTCCTCCTTGGAAGCAGATAGAGCATGCAGGTCATGCCGTGTTCTCTTGGCCCAAAAATTGATTCCACCTGGCACCGGAAGCCGCGCATTTAGGACCCTCAAACTTGGAGGCTATATATCTTTGTAATTCTTTGTGTATATATATATATATTGTATATACATATGGAACATATGACAAAATATGACAAACTGATCATAAATGGTTGGTCCCGAGCACCTCCAAAATGTTTGCCGTTCGCGGTCACAGTTGCTCCACATTGAGGACTACCATGCTATCGTTTCCAGTGATGCATCCAACTTGGAGTTGATGCAAGCTGTGATGGAGCATGGTGTGGTGATCGTTGACAACATGCCATTATCGGGTGACTCTAGCGTGCTGTTGGACTTTGTCAACAACTACCTTGGGGGAATGCAGAAGGACCCAGCACGAGAGGAACCCAATTGGGTCATCAAGAAGAAAGCGGGTGCTGTGAGCGTGAGCTATGCTCAAGAGAGGCGTACCTTCGCTTCAAGAGTTTTACAGTAACTCCAGGACACATATATACAGATAATAGATGATATAGATGAAAAAGATGTATTTATAAGTCTATAATATGTGTATGCATGGAGATGGAAGTGGCCCTTTGCCATAGAACCCTGTGGATCCCTGTGGTATGTATCTATATGGAGATGTGGATATGTGTCAGAGTCATTGCCAAAGAAATAACTTCCATGATCATCCCAAGAATAATTGAATCATCGCTTGGCCGATTTGGCCAAGGACTTAACAACCACACGGATCAGTCTGTGCCAGCCCATGGCATCCCGGCTCTGCTGTTGGTGGTGAACTATATCGAGGGTACTGGGTACAACACCCTGGTGGATGGCTACGCCGTAGCCCAAGCCTTGAGAAGCAGAGATCCGGCAGCCTTCGACTTGCGCCTTTGCTGGAGAAAACTGGATCTGGGATATCTGGGGGCTGAAAAAGAGAGGATAGAGAGGGAATGCGCAGGTCACATCCACGGACTATTGAGGTGATTCCACCAATGTGCAAAGATTTGATTTGATTGGATGATTTGTCCCATTTTGTCCCTGTGCTCTTCGCCCACTTTGGTCATCTTTGGTCCCCTCCAACACGTCCAACATCTCCCCAGCTGCCAAGGCTGGCTACCTATGGAAACTGCCAGGAGCGGGATTTCGTTCGATCACGGGTGGACTCCACTCAGGAAGGCACTCAACCCATGTTGCTGGCCACCAATCATCCCATCATCCAAACTGATGGGCAAGGCCAGGGCAAATGGGGCAGCTGGGACGGGACATGATGGGTCTGAGATGGGTTTGGGCTGGTGAAATTTTGGCTTTTGTCAATCCATCGGATGATTTAGGATTCTGATGATGCTGGGCCTGCAAGGCCCAATGAACGGATTCAAGAAGTGATCCTGAATGCATCGTATTTTGACCAGCCCGAAGCCTTAGATCCGTTAGATCAACATGATTTCAAATACTCTTTGTCCTTTTTTACCTTCCAATTTCCGTCCTAAGTCTATTTGGAATGGTTGACCATGGTTGACTCCAGTTGACTTTCTGGACTGGGTCATCCACAATCCGCAGGCAACCTGGTTCGAGTGCAGTTCAACGAGGTCTTCAGAACGCCCAGCACCGTTCCATTCGAGAAGTTCGAGGACTGGCACCGAGCATATCTCCTGTGGAACGAGATGATCCACGGTCCTGAAACTTGACATGGCTTGACATTAAGGGGTGAAGGCTGCTTGAAGCCTTTAAGTGCCATGTACAGGTTGTCATCAGCAACATCATCACCATCGTACTGCAAGCTATCAGAAGTATCAGTATCATATGTTTTCTTTTTCAAAGGGGTTACATTAGAGTTTGTCTGCAAAGTCATGCAAAATCAGGGGCATGCAGTGGATGCAGGGAATCCACTGCGTACCAGAGAAAGCAGCATGACTAGAACCACCATGCCACCTCCCATGCCCAGCTTGAAATCGGTCAAAGTCAAAAGTGAGACGCGTCTCACCCGACAGCTGTTGATGACTTTTGGATAAAAATCAGATACTTTCAATATCCTTTATCCAGTTTCGGACTTTCCCAACTTTTTACTCACTCAATGAGCATAGAACCCACACCTGCTCAGGAATTTGAAGTGGAAGCCCCCATCTCTCAGGGGCAAATGTTGATCCTGGACAATTGGCGCGTGTTGCACGGCCGCTCGGGAGGGAAGAGCAGCCCCAACCGCGTGATCATGGGCGGCACCGTGGTCCGGGAAGGCTTCCATTCGAAGGCTGTTCAGTTGATGGGCGGTTTCTATCCTCCTGAGCAGAAGTGATCCACGATCCACAAAGGCTGAGGATCTCCGTCCTGAACGAAAAATCCCGGGAGATCCTGGGAGTTAAAGGAGTTGAAGGAATTGAAGTTGGGTTTATGTAGAAATATGTGGAAATAGGGGGTAGATACGGGTAGATTCTTTATGACATTTTATGAACGATAAGTTTCTGCGTTTGGATATTTTTAGATGCAATTGATCATTTGATGGTTCCTGAATTCGGAAACACCAAGAATCCATGGAGTCCCATAGATAATTTACGGAAATGGTCGATTTCAAGGGATAAGACCGAAGAAGTGAACATTGAAAGGGTTTTCCAATTTTCCGAAACCCATTTGGTCCTGTTAGTCATTGTGAGGCCCTTGTGTTGAAGAAGTCAGTTCAAACCACAGCATTTTCGTTCGGGACATGCTTTTAGTCTCTTGGGTTCAGCTAGCAGGAAACCTCTGCCAGCTTTCACTTTCAAGGCTTTCAAGGTCAAGCAAATGGGGATCCCATTCGGCCCAGACTCTCAGACTTATCTTTTTCAGAGCTCCGTTTGGGTGATTTTCGCGGTTTCCAAGCTTGACCAACCCTGAATCGAGCAATAAGATGATGGGGGGCGACTGGCCAAATCTTCACGTTGCATGGAACTCATGGGGGGTCACCGTTCTCCAGCTACGGGATGCCATGGGGATAGTCTCATTCCATGCCAGCTCCATCAAGCCGCCCCTGACACGGTGAACCGCAGAACCGGTGGCATAATTTTGGCGGCGACTCAATGTGTAGCTGCCACGTTTTTGCCACATAATATCTTTCTGCGGGAAACTGCCACGTGGCATCTTTTTGGCGCCTGAAAACGCCACGTCCGCCGCGGAATTCACTTGAATTGTGGTTTAGTGGTTGACGAGGACAGGTGAAGATCGCAAGAGGAAAAGACATGCGTGGCTTGGGGCAGAGTCGTTCTGCGCGGCTGCGCTGTTTCGGAACAGCATCTCCAAAATGGGAAACGCATGCTAATTGATTAATACATTATCCTTTTCGTGCTTACATAATTTTAAATTTTATGGTGGCAGCGAAAAACCCATGGCATTTTGTAACACTAGGCCATGGCCATACACTATTGGCTTTGACAGCAGGTGAGCCACAAGTCGAGACCTGGATGGAACATCATTTCCCTCAGGATCCACAAGTTCAGTCACTTCGCAGGTTGATACACGCCTTTAAGTCACCTCACGGGGGACTGGAAGACAGTCCTTTTTTTCCAGTGTGGACGAACAGTTGATCGTAAAATGATGTAGAATGGATTAGAATATATTAGAATATATTAGAATAATATATATATATATAATATATATAATATATATAATATATATATATATATTTACTACCAAAGTACAAGTGAACGTCAGACACAGCACGGTCAGATTGGTGGACCTAGGCCGCAGCCGTCGAAGGGATCGATGCCAAGGCGCTGTGCCGGGCCTTAAAAAAAGAGAGGTGGGGTCAGGATGCCCCGGAAAATAGATGGGCAACTTACAATGTATGGGCCGTATGGGAGATAGTTTAAACATGTTTAAAACACACATTCAGATACATGTATATGATTGTATATGATGCTGAACGTTACTAAGCAAAAATCCAACTCCTATGATACCAGTTTTCAGGTCCAGGATGGTCAACTATCAGGGGTTACTAAAGAATACTCTGACGACTCCTTAGATGGGAACCGTTGCATCAAGAACTCTGCGATCTCGAAGGGTGTGTATCTTTATTTCATTTTATTTCTTATTCCTCACAAAAAGGACTTGCAACTTCATTTCAAAACAAGAATGGTGCAACAACTCCCAAGCAGGCCATTGACTGGCGAAGTGAACAGGTAAAATCAGGTAAACATAGGGTCAATTACAAGGGCCCCACCATGTTCTGATGAGTGGTCCATGCACTCCCAGAAGATACAATATGTCTCCAGAGGGGTCCCGAAGGCAGAGAAAGCAAAGGGAGATGCCGCCTTTTCTTCAAAACCTCCGGAGTTTGGCTGCAAACTCAGCAAGCTATGCAGTGCGTGTTTCTTTCAGGCCAGATCTTAGTATTTTTTCCTCCATCACTGGGACATACTGTGATTTTCTCTGTTCGCAGCCAATGGTTGGTTGTTGATTGGGGCCCAGCATGGCCCAGCGCTGCCCAGCATTGGATGTTCCAACATATTCCAACCATTGACCCGCAAGGTGAGGCTATTGCTGCATACACCGTCGCCATTGCTGGGCATCCAGCCCCTTGGCGATTGGACTGGTGTGCATCGATGCTCGTTTTTGGGATGGGATAAGAACATAGGACATGCTATAGGCTATACAAGACAGATGACACCTGGTAACTGGTGGTAAATGGTATATTGATGTATATTGATATAACAAAGAACCTTATGTAGAGGGCACATACATGTGAGACACGATAATTCACCAACATGTCTCTATTCAGAGCCCAAATGGGGATATCACGAAATGACAAATTGGTCGGTAGCAGAGGCCTCTATAAGATGTGCAACATTGTTGGCTAAGCTGCTGGAAATCTTTACAAGCAATGGGGACTATTTCAGGCAAAACCTGCTTGGTTCAACTTTTGCGGGTCCAAACGACAAACCACTCAGTGTGTCTTAACGTTTGATCTCACCCGAATGATTCCACATGATAACTTGAAGGGGTGAGGAAAGCGGCTCCACCACTGGTTTTGGGAGCACACATTCAACCACCCCAAGTTTTGAGGCGTGTATGTTTCGGTGATGGTCTCAAGGCATTCAAAATATTTCAAACTCATTTCTGTTCCCGTCAAAGGAGTGGCTGAAACATTAGTCAATAGATGTCAATATGATGTCAATAGCTTGTATTGGAAAGATTTTCAGCAGATGAAACCTCCTCTGGTATTTTTCGATTGTACCTCCATGTTTTGTATCCGTTTTCCATCTTTCCTTGCATGGCCGCAACTTGGCCTTGTGCATTGGCACAATTGGCACCCGCATCTTTCGGAGGCTGCCGTGCCCATGAAGGAGCTGGAGGTACGCCACACTGCCGCCCTAAGATGGGTCATGCATAAATCATTTAGCGACTTACTGAACTGATTGAAGATGATTGAGGTTTATTTCCTCCTCTCCCTCTCTTTACTTAGATACTATGTGTGGATATAGGTAGTATGTTATAGTATCATTTCCACGCGGGTTGATCACTATAGATTATGGAGATCCTGAATGACCAACCAGTGCAAAGATTTCCACCAAAGTTTGTTTTTCCCCAACAGCAAAACTTTGCTATGGGGTCTGTAGCCCAGATTAGCTCCGGTGCGATCCGGTGCAGCTTCAACAGCAGGTTCCGGACAAGGTTCCGGAGGGTTCTGGTGCAGATACCTCGTGAGGTTCCGGAGGGTTCCGGTGCAGATACCTCGTGAGGTTCCGGAGGGTTCCGGTGCAGATACCTCGTGAGGTTCCGGAGGGTTCCGGTGAAGATACCTGCTGAGGCTCCGGAGGGTTCCGGTGCGGGTACCTGGTGAGGTTCCGGAAGTTTCGGTACTCGGTGAGGTTCCGGAGGGTTACGGTGCAGATACTTGGTTAGGTTATAGAGGGTTTTTGGTGCAGGTACCTGGTGAGGTTCCGGAAGTTTCCGGTGCAGCTACCTGATGAGGTTCCGGAGGGTCTAGGTGAAGATGCGTGGTGAGGTTCCGGAGGGTTCCGGGATGTTCCGGGGCAGATACCTTGTGAGGTTCCGGAAGGTTCCGGTGCAGAGACCTTGTGAGGTTCCGGAGGGTTTTGGCGGAGAAGATGCTTGGTGAGGTTCCGGAGGGTTCCGGTGCAGATACCTTTTGAGGTTCCGGAGGGTTCTGGTGCAGATGCTTTGTGAAATTGCAAAGGGTTCGGATGTATGGCGTAAGCACTTTATTTTTATGGCTTAAGCGCTTAATTTTTATGGTATAAGCACTTTTTATGGCAAACATGCAGAAGCTTCAAGCTGTTGGGGATAGCACCTGAGTTTATTTGCTACAGCTCAGATCTTTCAGCAGTCATGTTTAGGAAGGCTTGGATGATCATCCTGGTCAGCAAGTGGTAACCGTGGTTTCAATCCACTTCTGAAGGGATTCCGAGCCACTGAACTTGCAAAGAAGCACTGAGGGGGTGGTTGCCCTGGTCGGCTCAGATTCCGGAGGAAACAGTTGGAAATGGTCAAATGATGTCAACCGTTCTGTTTTGTATTTGTTTTTTTTGGCACATTCACCATGAAATTTGACGCACGGCGGTTCCGAACTTGATCTGGGTCCACTGGCAGCTGACAGGCACTGGCAGAGCAAGAGCAGAAACTGATGGGATCCGGGAATCGCATCAATGCCGAGGAGCATATCAGCTACGGCAATTCGAACTTCATTTTGTGAAAGCGACCTCGGTTCAAGATCCCCAAGTTTGACCCTTTGCGATGCACTCGTACCTTCTAAATCCTTAAATTCGAGGCTACAGGCGACCACAGAATTTTGCCCCTACTGGCCTTATGGATCTTAGTCCTACATCCTACACATATAATGTAGGCTGCCTAATAATAACCCCCCCTATTTTTTTTTGAAGGGGGGGGGGGGTCAGCATTCCAATAGTAAATTCCTGGAACCCTATGGCTGGGATCATGATATGTATCTGATAGATTCTCCATGGTTTTGTTGGGTTTTTGATGGATTCTGAAGGGATTTGGTTGGGTTTCTGATACCATACCATGCCCTCTGGACAAGGTCAGAACATGAGGTTTTTGGTAATACTAAAAGTAAATTAGGCTAATTGACTTTTAGCATTGGAGAAAAAACTGGAGTTGGGAAAAAAGTTTCTACTATTGCCATGTTGGGTCCACTATTGGCCTTGCCCTCTGGACAAGGTCAGAACATGAGTTTTTTGGCAATACTAAAATCAAAGTAAGCTAATTGACTTTTAGTATTGGAGATAAAACTGGAGTTGGGACAAGGTATCATTATTGGCTAGACAACACTACTGTATATTATATATATTATAATATATTATAATATCATTATCACACAGGATTGAATGGGGAAACCCACTTCCGATTCAGCTCCAGGAGCAGTTCCGCCAGGCAGCAAAGAACCTGCAGGAGGCGACTGGTTCTGCAGATACCAACTTTGGGCTGTTTTTTCAGGGACCATGCTGGATCCAATGAGATCGCAACGGTCATCATAGATTCATAGATGCTACTTATTAATCATTGTAGATTCATTGTAGTAATTAATTATGATTATAACACTAGATAATATATCATACGTCATACTATAGTTTTAGTCTAGTCACAGTTCCAGTCATAATCACAGTCGTTCTGCTAAGCAAATGGTGGGCTTGTGCACCCAAGTGTGGGGACATAGCCAAATGGCTCCAGCCCTTTATTTTCTCCCCCCGCCTGGGACCACGGACCCTCGTGGGAAGGCAACTGCATCCAAAGACACCTTGGAAGTGTCTGCTTGGGACCCTAGCGTTGGATTTGCCGTCAATGATGACAATCTGCTACATAAACTTCCTGCAAAAAGTATGTCAATCACACGCTCGAGAGGGCAACATGAAAGCAAAAATTGTGAGTGTCTTGGTGACACACTTTTGCCCTTCAAAATTCACATCTGAAAAACCATTCCCAATGAGGTTTTGCACCCTTTCAAACCACTATGTCTCCACTGAGGTGTTGTATGGCAATCGAGCTGCTGCGCAGTGTCCTCATGGGCCCCCCAAGAACTCTGACCTTGCTGACCTTGCCGTATGATTGTCATCAAATCCATCGAGAGCAAAAAGGAGAACCCTTAAACCTTTTTTGATATCTCTTTTGATATCCTTTGTTTTGAAACTGGTGGCCAACCATCAGGCTGTGCCACCTTCAGTGTTGGACTGCAGTCTACCACCGAGATTGGGATTGGCCGTGCAGCGCTAGGCAAAAAGGCATCATTATGTAAAACCTCCAGTTTTTGGTGGGTCAAAGCTCATTTTCCGTTTTTTTTTTCTCAGGCCACAGGATTTGTTGCCATTTCAAGGTCTTTCAGCACCGACGGCATTTTGGTATTTTTACGAAATAGCGGTTGTACAAAAGTCCATCTTCTCAGTGAAGGAGCTGTGTCCTTGTGCGGATAGTCTTAACATGTCTTAACAGTGAAACTAAAGTGTACCTGTGAGGATTGCAGTTTCTTTGGCTGGACACGTTCCCTTTGTGCAAACTTGGGTCCAAAGCTTTGGACCGGCCCATTGAGGCGGTGCAGGATGCACGGATGGCTGCTCGACTGCAGCAGTCAGCCAAGGCAGGAGTGGGGTGCTGCCAGCTAGGGTAAGCTAGGGCAAGAAGAGGTGAGACTGGCTTCAACGAAACCAAGTTGGGCTATATATTGTATAATTACCTTCAATCCAGCTAACGAATCTCCAGTTTTTTGCCCATTGCAGACATCACTAGACTTCTTGGTAATATTCACCGCTTGACCTGGACAAGCGGGACACCTTTCAAGATGATTCGTTCAGGTTTTCAAAGGCATCCAGGATTTCAACAAAGCTACACAACCAGCCAAAGTGCCAGTGGGACTCCAATACACACAGGCACTCTGGCATTTGATACACGAAGGTACATGTTTCAGGCTTCCTCTGGATTCAGCCATGATTTCCTTGTTCAGGCTCCAGCCGAAATGGTGTAGCTTAGCTCTTTCAAAGTGCTCAACACGTTTGTATGCGTATGGTTTGATACGTGAGCATATCTGATATACATATATATATGATTATATATAATATACATATAATGCACACATACTACATCATAGAATGTACAGTACAATCACGATCAAATTCACGACACTTTTTGATGTGACTTCCATCCTCTGCAATTCGGAATAGATTGGTAGATGGTTGCACTTTGGTCAAACCGGTTGTGATGGTTCAAAAAAAACACAACCAGCACATCTTGACAGCAAAAACACCTCACGTCGACCGCCAGGCCAGATGTCGTCTTGGTGTTGCACTCTTGGGAGCTGGGCAACCAGAGGAGCCGAGCTTTTGGCTATGGATTTTGGCTCCACATCCCCAATATATTAAATTATATGTTCTTCATTCATATCTATAGTGGGTAAATGGTCAACTACAGCAGCCTGAGGATGTCAGGGTCGTGTGGTCGTCGTCGTCATGGTGACTGGAACCGCAGATGAAATATTTCACCATGGTTTGCGATTCCGTGTACTTGAGTGTATGGTTGATGCGCACAACTTGCATGCACCTGCCAGTCCTTGAAACCTGTATATGTATAATGTATATAAAAGGTATATTGCAGACTCGAGAGCCAATCATGGCATGGAGCACCCACTGCTGTCAGGATGCATACACCGAATTCGCTTGGGCATTGGCACACCTGGCGCGTTTTCTCCTCACACTGATCCGGTTCGATGACAACTGTCTGACCTGACCCTACCTCAAGATGATCTAAGGGAGTGCTTGCAACGTCTTGGATCTCAACCTGATGAAACTTGTTGTATTTGTCTTTAACTTAATGACATCCCAAAGAACATGGCAAAGGATCTACAAAGCTTTCGCATCGCGGCAGGCCATCGACAGTCACTATGCTCTGGCTCGAAGCGGTTTGGAGGTGCCAAGTCTGGCGTAGATGTTGTGATTGAGTATTTAAAGCTGGTGGTTTCTTAAAACGTCCAAGCCTCATGAGTATGTTAAATTTGCCAAATCGAGATGCACAATTTGCATCAGCTGACACACCCATATCTTCTATATTCTTCTATGCATTCTATACATTTCATATGGTTACATAGCTAGAACGGGAAAGGTTCCACCCACAATTTGAAGGCTCTTGGTATGGATGGTAACTGCGACGGGTTGGGGACAGGCTTGCCTCTCCGCCATTCCCAAGTGGAAATCTCGCGAGGCAGGATGTCAACCAGCTGTAGTACAGGTATGATGACCTGCCAATGGCACTTTGAGGTATTTTCCCACTGCAAAGATCTGTGAGATCTGTGAGATGGGACTGCACTTTTCACATTTTTCACTGTCATCTTTTAGTCAAGTGGGATCCGATCAGATCAATTCAGATCATCGAGCAGTAACTCCACAAGTTGTAGCAGCGAGGCACAGAGACGTTGGAGGTTGTCCCAGGATTCTGGACGGCCACGAGCTTTCACCAAGGTGCCTGTGGTAGTCCCTGGGTAGCTCATGGGTCAACGTCCCAATGAAAGTGTTGGTTGAATTCCTATATAATATATTATATATATAATTAATAATTATATATATATAATATAATTCTGATATGAATCTGATAGAACTAGATATGATATAAACATTTGGCATCAGTGATGTACCTAGATGGTATCTGAATCACCACAATGATTCCAAAGATGGCTGGAATGGCTTTGATTCCTTGCTGGATTTCAGGTGCAGCAAGCGCGCCAGGTTTGGATGATTTCGGATCTCCACTGCGACCAGAAGGGGAACGCAGAGTTGGGAGCCCCTTCCGTGGAGTCGTGGGGGTTAATGGCAAGGAGGACCGAAATGGATTGAAATGGTGGGCAGAGGCTACAACCACCAACTGGGACTGGGTCGCCAAAATACCTGGATGACATGGAAATACATGGAACAGACGCAGTTTAGTTATGGACTCTCAAGATCTCACATGTCGAATCCTACTGCAATCCAGCACTCAATAGTGACCAAGTCGTGCCACTGCGAGAGGTATCACCTCGACTAATTGGTTGGCCAATGATCAAATTGATGAATTAATTTGTTTTGATTGGTTATCGGGGATTTTGATGGATTTTGTACTCTCATGTTTTCTCATGCTTTGAGGATATTGGGACGCACTACTAGTATCTACCAGTTATATCTAGTTAATTCTAGTTACATCTGGTTGCAATTTCCTCTTTGTTTCTTGGATTATTTGGATTACAACTGTTTGAAATCGATCCCGTGCCGGAGGTGGTGTCAGCTCCTGGATGATGCAGAGTTTCAGGCGCTACGTTTCGGTTCGTTGCCGGGATACGCTTATTAAAGCTCCGTAAGGTGTCAGTTTGACACTAGCCCAAATAATCTCTATATATCTATATATGGTAATTATGGTATAGTATAATATATGTATATATATATAGTTGCATAATGTTGCATATATCTTTCTACTCATTTCATCTCTTTTCATTTCTGTTCAAGGGTTCTACCTCCTGAACTCGATCCATTTCCAGGGCTTTACTCACTAACTGCATCATGACCATTCGCTGAAACATGGCCTACCGTCTGAGCCAACGAGATTGGTAGTTTGACATATCTCGTCTGGGCATTAGAAATATACAGAAATATGAAGTTGGCAGGTGTTCAGGTGGCTCATAGTATCTAGGGACCCCCAACTTTTCATATCCTGTTGTGTGCGGCACAAATTAGCTAAACATCAGAGAAGTTCCTCTTGTTGTGCGAGTGGTTTGCCTATTGACTGCACACAATTTCATACAGCGTTTGGCTTTGGCGTAAAAATGCACAAACTGTCAGGAGGATGTGCTGATCGTGGCTGGAAATGTGGTTTCCTGGCCGAACGCCTTTGATGGGTCTACAAGATGATGTTAGGCATTCGATCTCGTCTCAGGAATGCTGTCGTATGCCCTAGTATGCGCTAGGCGCTAGTAATATTTCACCCTCGGTAAAAACGTGGCTTGCATTCTCCCATGAGTCAGGTATTGCAGGCTTTTTCATTAATTTTGTTTGTTCTTCTGTGTGGCAACCTGGCCCAGGCCAGCCAAAAACCGGCAGTGTCGATCGATAGATCCGGATCCTACAGGTCTATCACGATCCATTGTGATGTTAAATAAATCATCCTCATGAACTCATGAACAGAATTCGTTCTAATTTAGGCATAATCTTCTACAAGAGTATCTTCACCAGGCTGAAACCTACCGAGCTGTGATCCAGAGCCTGAAGGTGCCATGGAAGCTTGGAGGGTGGCTGAGAGTCATCCCAGGAAAGTAGAGACTTACGAATCTAGCTATGCTCAGCAGCATCCAGCAGCTAAGCACATCTAAGCACTCACTAGTTGGTAGTTTCATTCTGAAATGATTTCACCCGAAATGAACACTGGCTGAAGCGATCTGAAGCGCTTCATGGCAGGTCCTGAGGGGAAAGTTCCGACGGGTCTTCTACGTCCCTGGCAACAGAGACCTTGCCCTGAATGCCAGTGAGGCCGGAGGTCTGGGGTGCGATTCCACCCGGAACTTGTGGAATTATTGTAAGATTACGTAAGATTGATATATTAGGTATATATTAGATATATTAGGTATTATTAGGTTGAAGTGGTAACTTGAGAATCCAACCCGTGTTGCAACACATGAGTCCAAATTTGGGCTTTGCGCTCGAAAGACTGACCAGACAAGACTTCGACTCGACCAGACTGACTTGGTGTTTCTGGAGGAGAATTTGAGAATCTTCGAAAGCCTAAAACCTGGGGTGAAACAATGACTTCATCAAGTGCCTGTCAGCCAGGCCCTGGATAGAGAAGATAGAAGTTGGTTTCCAATCTTTTCAAGCAGCCATCTTTCTGCCAGAAGATAGGTATACTTATATATAAATGACATAAAATACAGAATAATGTAGTGACATGTATATGTATTGTATAACCCTATATTACACTATATGTATCTATATAATATATACAGTATATATATAATCACCACCCCTTTAAGGCTACTTTTCAGGGGGACCCCCTTAAATGCAAAATTGGTCGCCGAACTTCCCCCAGGTTTTGTTTTTGTGGGGAGGGTCTTCAAAATACCTTCAAAATGTAAGCTTACATTTTCAAGGCCCCCCTCAAAAACACCTTGAAAAATGTAGCTTACATTTTGGGTAGGTCCCCCACTTAAAACGCTGGTGATTATGTATGTATGTATATATATATATATATATACACATTGTTGTTAAACATGTGGGGGTGGCTTCTTGCGTCGAGGGTTTCCATGTTGCCCTTGGGCATCCAATCTTTTCATCTCTCCACAGGTGCGGACATCGCGATTTCCAGACTCGATCGCCAAGCTGTTGGCGTTGCTCAAGGCTTGTGAAGAAATTGAGGCCTGGACCTCAGATCGTTCTAGGTATCAACTTGGCCATACAGTTTGGTGGCATATTTGTTTTCTAAGGCCAACATTTAATATGTAGGTTGTGGGTCTTCAATTCAGCAACAAATGATTTGTGTGTTTGGAACTTTGAAAGGTTGTTGAAATGGCGAAATGTTGACAGGCTCAGGCTAATTGATTTGGGATGTTTGTTTGTTGGCTCCGACCGATCATCTCCACTATTTGATTTGAGGTGGATGTCTTGCCGGCTGCTATTGGGCAGGAATCCAGGGTGGGCATGGGTATAAGAGTTTTAGGCTGATAGGATCATTTGTGGATGTTTCGGTGCACTTGTACATATGTGTAATTATATGTGTGTATGTCTCTCTCTCTCTCTCTGTCTCTCTCTCTCTCTCTCGCTCTCTCTCTCTCTCTCTCTCCCGCCCACGCCGCCCGAATATGGTGGCTGGGTAATGAACAACAGACTTGCTGCATCTACCAGCTTCTTTTGCATTGAGCGCCTGATTTGTTAGATAGCCGCACAGACACCAATTCTGATCTTCGAGCTGACTCAAATTTCTGTCACATTGAGCTGGTGATGCGCAAGCGGATAATACATTGTTTTGGCCACGCCACAGAAAAGAGGCTCGGGAGATCAGGAGCCAAGGAGCAAACATATATATGTTTTTATTTATATGTCATATGGTTGCACGGAATTGCCACTGCGTGCATGACAACCTAGAAAAGAATGGCAAGGTACTTTCCCGTTGGATTTGGATCCTGCAACGCAACTTTACTTTAGGATGTCTACGTGGTGCCACTCTTTTCCTGGTACAATGCGGAATTTGACAAACGGAGTCGCCTGGAGACCCAGTGTTTGAATGCCGGGGGGGGTCCATTGGACGGCTAGGCTAGTGGATGTATGGATTGTAAGATCACAAAATGTTGTTTTTTTTGGGTCAGGTCACTTGTTGGAAGCATGTGTATCCTTGGTTTGGCCACTAAGATCACCAAGCGGGCACCACAGGGATCAAGAGCAAAACGATCTGAATCAAGCAGCTGGCATGGTTTTCCTGCTTGGTACCACTTCTGTCACTTCTGTCCTCCAATTCCTGTGAAATGCGGTCCACCAGAAGCTGATCCACTAGCCGTCCGATAATTAGAAGAGATGATATTATTATATATTAATTATGTAAGGATATGTAAGGATATGTAAGGATTATTAAAGGGCTCGAACAATATCCAGCCAAACCAAGCTACACGGAATGACCGTCAATGCTTCTCGTTTTTTTATGATAGGGTAGAGTCCTCCAGTCCTCCAACTGGGCAGGTCCAGATCCCAACATCGGCTTTGATTCACAGTGCGCAGCTACCTCGGTGCACGGCTGGGTCACTGGGATGCACGGGGTCAAAAACTGGGATCCAAAAAGGGGTTCCAACACATTTGGTCTTGAAATGTCTTGAATATCTGAGAATCTTGACAATAGAAGTTATCTGAAGCTATTACCCCATCCTATTTTGTTAAATGATTTGAAAGCATCATTCTGATCATTATCATCATTATCATAATTATCATTACCTAACATAAAAACATTCTTATGAATGCTTATGACACATGAGTATGATCATTATGATCTTGATTTCCCACATGTTTGAAACGACGATTCGGAGTCGATCGCACCCCAGGTGTGGCCCTTGGATCAACACCAGCTGTGGAAGTGGATGCTGAAGTTAAACGAGGCCGCCGATCTCTGTGGGATGGAGATCCTGCCACGAGTTACATGAAATCAACGGTTGATGACCTCGATTGATAAGTGTTTTTTGGAGGGGTTATAATTATAATAGTTAATATAGTGATACTGTATACTCAAAGAAGCAAGTGACAACTGGGGGGTTAAAACTGAGAATTGAGGTATTTTGGAAACCAAAACATACCAACCAACCATGAGTAAAAGCAAAATTTGCTCAGGTGCAGTCCAATGGGATCCAATGGGCGTCGTGAAACTGCCAGCACTTCTTGGGTCCATCTGGGTACCACGCTGCAATGCTTGGCAGATCGTTTTATGGGCATGGGTCAAAATTGGGTCCACCCTCAAAATTGGATGATCATATAGATACTAACAACATCTAAAACAGTCCAACCAGCCTTGTGGTTCCAGGGCCTTGAAATGGAACACAAAAATCCATCGCCAACTACTGCACTTTGGCCGAAAACCTCTGACTTGGTGCCTCAGGCACATCTTCACGTCTACCGTGGCACGGTGACAATCTCAGCCTCATGACAATGGCCAATACATGTAACGCTAGACAGACATGGTTCAGAATTCAGAACAAATCCTATTTGTAGGAAATCTTCACCTGGGTCGAAGGTGAAGAACTTGAATACAAGTCTCTTTGGCCCCTAGTTAATAGTTAACATCTTGCGACTTGTTCAGGCGATTTTGAACTTTCATCACTTTCTTGAGGGATGTGTCTGGGAGTCTGGTCTTACAAGGATGATTTGATGGAGATCACAGGTGGATACACCCTGGGGGAAGAGAAGCACGACTTAGCAGTTTGGAAAAAGATGGGCAAAGCATCTAGCAGTGGCGGCCTGGATGATATCCACTTCCATCATCTTCCATCCACTTTCACATTAGTTTTCTGAAGGGCAAGAATGTCAGAGCCTGAAAATTCTGAGGTTTTGACTGTTTCGCACTTCCTGCCCCTGACCACCTTGCCCTTTGACGTTGCTGGCCGATGTCCTAGTGTGGGCAAGCCGTAAACACCTCGCCGGGGTCACTGCTATGATTGGAACCTCCAATATCTCTTGTGGCTTTCAGCCACCAATTTCAGGGGGGTTGCGGGTTTACAATTCAGGTCCGCTGGAGCATCTATAATTCTTGTTTTGCTCCTGAAATTTGGGACTAGAACCATGGTGCAGTAGTGAGACATGACCCAGACTTGTCCCATTTTTTTGGAACAACCCCCCTTCGGTGCATAAAAGGGACGATAGGGCCTATTGAACCATGCGATGAATGACGTAGTGATCGACCGCAACACCTTGCTGGTGAAACACCAGGCCTGCTGGCCAATAGAACTTAAATGTTAGGCGATGAGCTCCGGAAGTTGTGCATGAACAGCAGTCCACTAGGCAATTCACTGGACAATTTTGCATGGCAATTTAAAGGTTAGATTGGATAGACCATCATTTACCAGCATTACCACCATCAATGACCACCATTCTTTACTGAAAGATGCTGGCAAAATGGTGACGCCAAGGTAAGCAGGCTCAAGCCATGGGCTGTGAAGAGATCGAGGCGTGGGAGATGACTGGGTTCAGCCGATGCCCGTGATTTTGCTGGAAGATCATCATGTTCTTAATAAATATATAGAGTATATATATAGAGTGATATATATATATAACTCTATATATAAGATATATATGAATATACAATTCTTAATATTTCTTAATCAATGTCTTAATGATTAATGATCGGAATCACCCAAGACTTGGAGTTTCGTTTGAAGATATGCTAAAGGCGTTATGATATATTCTTTTTGGAGGCAAGATAGTCTCGTCAGCTTGATTTGTTCTTGTGTGAGACAGACAACGCAAAATGGCACAGACTGTGTACTAATAGCATATAAAAACTATTAATAGCGTATAAATGCTACTAATAGCGCATAAAGGTCACTCTGACCGTATTTGAGATACCCTAGCTTCCAAAATGGCAGAATTTGGGTTAGCTTTCATGTATCATACCGCTGTAGCACTGTACCACACAATCAGATGCTGCGCTTGAAACGTAATGGTGTAGTGCTAAGCCCAGCACTGAATGACTTGTGTTCCCATTCTTTCACTATTTGGGGTAGATTGAACTCCCCACGTATCTCTAAGAGTTAAGAGAGAGGGGGAGAGAGAGAGAGAGAGATAGACAGACAGACAGACAGACAGACAGACAGATAGATAGATAGATAGATAAATAGATAGAGAGATAGAGAGAGATCAATCATTATCAGAGAACCCTGCTGCACTGGCCATCACTTGGGATTGAGGGACACTGCGACAGAATGGATACCAGCAAGATTCGCCACAGTTGATTTGCCATAGATTTTTTGTACATTACATGTACAAATTGTACTTAAATTATCATGAAGTACCAAAGCACATATCCATTGAAGGTGACGTATATAGACAAATAGCATCTATGATCATATATACGTTATTATCCTCAAACATGATTGAAACTAATCCATATGCTTCAAGTTCACCTCCCCGTATATCCAGGACCAGCTGAGAGAAGTCAGGAGCAGTGCTCACGCACCCTGGCTGAAAATGGGACCCCAAACCATACCAAAACCATTGGGTTCACACTAGGAAAACCATCCAACTGTATTCAATTTTACAGATTGAAGGTACCTTCTAATTTGCCATAGTTTTTTCAATTTTGATGTTTTTTTTTGCAGTTCTCGTCAGTTTCTTATTGAAACCACTGGTTTGACCCTCTGACCCAACAGACTTTGCGTCTCCCAGTGCTTCGCTGCATGAGGTCTATGGTCATAGCACTATCAGAAGCCTGCAGGCGCGACTTCTGGAATTTGCGGAAGCAATGTTCGGAAAACACACACACAAAATGAAGATTCGTCACTTTAACCCAAGAGATAGGGGTGCACACGGGCCTCTAATCGGAAGTGGAATCCACTCTTCAAGTCCCAATCCAGTTCCTGCCTTGGCGTTTTTTCTTCTATATTTTAATGCCAATGGACCTAATATAAGGATTTTTCAGAACACTGGATCTAACTATCTCCCAATCCCTGCTTGTGCAGGTGCATGGTGGAACAACCTTTGGAAACCATGCACTGGGCCTGGTCACTGATGAGAACGAGGTACCTGGCAGGTATTTTGCATCATCTAAGATGCAGATGCTTTGAGGGCCATTGATTTTGAACCAACAGATGCAGATGTGCAGTGCTTATTTCGTGGAATTTATGGATTTGAGTTCCGTTTGTTTTCCTTGTACTTTCTGGATCATTCAAGATTCTGTAGAGATGTTTCTAGATATCTCATATTCTTGTTCAGGATATTTCGTTATTTTGCTTTAGGTGTTAGTTAGTTGGGGACATCGTGAAAGCATTTCAGGTCTGGGACCAGCAGTTTCCCGGTGTTGTGCTGTCTCCCAGAAGCTCCAAAAAAGGCAGTTTTGCTGGGGTTGAAACCATTACGATCAAGCATGGATCAAATTCAATACCCTAAGATTACCCACGCCCCTGTACCTTTAAAGCCTTCCGCCCTGGACCAGGTGCCAGCTGGTCCTCGCTTGCTGTTCGACGGAGCCAAAGGTGTGGGGGGCCCGAAGCCCTTTCAGGAAATCGTTTGAGGAATAGATAGGAATAGTATAAAATTCCATATGAATCTTAAAGATTGGGTAGAAGTAGAAGGAACATGAAGAAACATCCAAGAGACATCCAAGAAACCAGATTAATAGGTCAGGTTCATGGGGCACTCCATTTCCAAGGTCCAATTTAGCCGTTGCCATTTCAATTGCGTTGCATCACCCGAGGTGGTGAAGAGCAGTGCGTGAGACCGCGGTAATGGAGTTGGGATGAAGTCTCAAAAGGTCAAGCAACACCTTAGGCGGGTACAGGCGGGTACAGGCAACAGTAGACAGCCTCTGTTCCCAAATCTCAGATTGCAGCTGTTCCCACATCTCAGATTGTTTGACTTGCTTTTCAATAGCCAGCCCTGTATCGCCTGTATGATCAGCAAACGAAATGAAATTCTCTTGTGAATGAAGTGAAACCGGCTGCGGCTCACTGGAAATGCGCTTCACGGGCACCATGAATGTCGCAACTGATTCGATTTTTGCTGGGAGTCTGGGGTGTGATCCCTGGCCCAGATCGACGAACCCGTGCATCATCCGTTTGATGCTTGCAGTCTTCCTACTTTCCCTATACGCTCAGAGTGTGAATCCATTCGTAGAAAACAGAAGTTGGTACCAGTGTGGTTGAAGGCTTGTGGGGAATGCATGCTATGCAAGGCTGAAATGACTGATATATGATATAATGATAAAGCTCATTTCTGTACTGTTGCCGTGTGAGGATGCCGTAAATTGATACATGCTGCTCGCACATATAGTACTTCTCGATACCAACTTGGCAGCTTTCAGATCCAAGAATATAAATTAAAAACATTTAAAAACTGGATACTGTACCCCTAGGAACTTGACAGTTCTGTGGAGTAGATCCTCAACAATGACCAGCTATGTCAGCTATGTCATGTGGTTCCCACAAACCCGGGTGCCGCGAACAACTTTTGATTGATCCATCTTTCCATCCCACCGCAGACTGGAGCGATTTGCCTCGATGTGCTGGGCAAGGTGTGGCCTGGGGCTGATGACCAAAGCTGGATCAGTTTTTTTTCGGCGACACAATGCTGGAAGATGACTTCGATGATTTTGTTGAAAGATGTTGAAAGGGCTTAATCTTCAGGGGTTGCATGTTCTAGTTCGTTAATTGCCAAACATGATTGGAACATGGACGTTAAAGTCCACGCGGTGAGGCTTGGAACCTACAGAATCTACTAACATCTTCAAGTAACTTTGGGCTATCACTATGCCCAAAAAAGCTTCAGATGCATTCAATTTAAGGGTATGCATGTGCCTGACATTTGGTGATGTTTTGCTACCTAACTTTTTGGCAGCTGCCATTCGATGACTCATTCCAAGAGTTATGTAAACGGTATTTTTTATCGATCTTGGTTCAGCACATTCTTTGGTGCTGGTCGTGTCCATATGATTTCTTGCTTACTAGCCAGCTCATCAATTTGATGGATAATCTAAGCAGTACTATACATCCCACTGTAGTTGTTGCTATTTGTATCGAGTTGTATTCCTGTGTTTTTTGATGTATTTTTAAACATTTATTTTAAACTTATTTTCCACTTGGATTGGTCCAGTCCAATACCCGTCAATACCCATGCATCGTTGTACATATATCATTGTTCGGTAAATCCACACTTGAATGAAAGTTTTTTTTCATATTGTTCCCAATCTTTCGTGAGTGGGCATCCCGAAGCTCACATCCCCATCTATTGTTCAGGAGTGGAGCCCTGCCTTGACGATTCGCACAGCGCTCCTTTCAATTCAGGTGGGCCAAGCACTTGAAGATTTAGCGAACTTCCATGAACTTCCCGTTTCTATTTTAGCTGCATCAAGCCAGTCAATCAAGACGTGTGACCCAACATGATAAACCACTCAGTACTGTAGAATTCAATGCGTGGACTACGACTTATCCATATTTGAGGATCTTCTCTGTGGACCGGTTTGATACGAAGATTCTTTAACAGTCATACAAATGCAGAGCTGCTGACATTGCCCTACTGATGGTGAGGCATTGCTGTCCTCTCCGGAACCTGACGATCCTCAAGATGCAGAGGCAGCTGCTGGGGGAAGCGCATGGGCTCAATGCCAATTCAGTTATCTGTCAAAATCTAACCCTCATGGATTTGGACAATATTTGGCGGTAAACCATGCCAATTCTAGGGTAGGTAGCCAGTTAGCCACCCGTACGACCTTTTCCCTATGGAAGTCAATCGTGGCCAGGTACCAAGCTGGATCCGGAGAAGAGTTGCAAATTCAACGTAACTAGTCGAATTGAGTCCAATCCCAGGTCGCCCATGTATACTTGACATTGTGCAAAACATCATGCCGAGATGAGAAAAGCGAGTGGATGCAGGTATTCACCCCAGCAAAAATGACACCGAAACTCTCCTAAGGCCTAGCAATAGAAAACATCGTTAAGACATGTTAAGACATGGCCATAACCATGTCCGTTGCAGCACTGGGAGAGGTTGCGGAGATGTACAAGCACAATAGAGAACTCTTCGTCCAGGCCATAGGGCCCGCCATGGCCCGCCGATTGGATCCAGATTCCGGATCGACGAAAGATTCTTGGGTGGAACATGTGCGAGAAACATGGGCTGGAGGCTGGTGGCATGATGTAGCAGAGAGAACACCAAGAGTTCAGTCAGTAGTGTAAGTGGTGAAGTACGGCCTGTACGTGGTACAGCTGTGGTACAGCTATGCAACACCTGGGTCTTCCATTTTCGAGGCACGAAGATCTGTGTTTGGTTTATACATACCGAGTTTATGCTCACCATAAAACCCATGCGGCGCACAGACGGCCAAATACTGGACGGAGACCTTCGCATCCGAGAAGAAGTCATCAAATGACGAGAAGGTGCTTGGCGAGGGTTGTGTTCCGCCGGGGGTATGCCCGCTTAACACTGGACTCCTGAAAAGCAGTTGCAGGTGGGTCGCAATTTATTTGACCTCAGATGTTTGTCTTTTTTTTTCCCGAAGGTTCCATCCAATTCGGCGGTGTATCAGAATTTTGCCTTGGCCAATTGCTTCCAGAACTAGCTGGCCTTCCCCAGACCTTGCAGTTCCACCGTCATTCTAGCCCCTCATTCACGACAGTTGCTTGTAGAAGTTGCTGCAACAGACTACACAGCTTTTGTCAGCAAGGAAGCACTTCGTTAGTGAGCACAGAGGGTGCTACAATTCAAATCCAACCTGGTGAGTAATGTCAACCCTTCAATCGTAGCATGAATACCGGCACAAAACACCCAGCATGGTCCAACGTACTTGGCTAAGTCTCGTGGTATGTCGACACATGCCACAGCGGTGCCAGATACAAAAGATTGTGGATATGGGTTTTACCCAGGAACAGGCAAAGTCCCTGACTCAGTTTCAGCTTACAGAGGTCCAAAGTTAGAGGCTTGTAAGCTGTGATGAGCGCTAGGCTGCGCGATGTTTCCAAAATTTTAGGTTTAATTCTAAGTTGCTGAAAATATCGAGATCTTCAAGACATTTCCCCGCTAGTCACTAGTCCCCACATCTTCAACGCTCCGCAGTCCTTGAGGTCTGCGCTTGAAAAGCACAACTACGATGAGACTACGGCGCAGAAACCCAGAAACTCCGCACAACGAAACTGAAACAAAACTCAGTCAATGGATGTCAATGTAGGTATGTAGTGTAGTTTTGAACACCAGAAATTCTGACATTGACATTCTTTTCATTTCAATATTTGCACGTAGCGATTTTCAGGGTTCTATTGTTGATGTAGGTGGTGGTGTGTATTGAAGGTTGAAGTGTTGGTTGCTCATTCAAATAGGAAAGCAATTTGCTCCCGAGAAATTCGCTTGAAAGCTTAGCAAGCATCGTGATGTAAATGATCAGGATTTTGAAAGCTTACGAATCATCGGAGACTTTTGGGTCACCTGCACTTGCTACACTATGCTTCAGAGGGGCTGCAATCAAACGATCCTGCACTCATGATAGTGAACGGACGAAGCCTCTTGGAATGTGCCCAAATTCGCTATGTCCAGGTTTAATTGCGGATTCGTCAAATCTATGATACTTTCTTGTTGGGATGGCCAGCCACTCATCAATGGCCATTTTAGGAACCTAAATTGGAGGTACCTACCATATACCTGCAACTTCCTGATGCTTAAAATTTTGGTCGTTTCCCAAACAGCTAAAATTTCAGCCGTTTCAAAACAGAAATGCTCTTGTTTTCAAGAAATGCCGTTTCAGCCCTCGGTAAGGTTTCCCACTTGTTTCATGAGCCATTTTCATAAATACCATTGACCCTAATAGTTACCTAATCCATTGCACAGGCAATGCACGATCAACATTGATGAACCATCCCCAATCTTCCCTGGCCACCGCCGGTGTGGAGCGCTTTTTCCTGGAGCCCTTTGGGTGCGAGAATGCCGGGCCCCCAAGATCTCATCGACCAGGTTTGACCTTCAACTTGGCCTGCTTCACTTTGAACCTTCGGTAGACAGCTTTGGATTTGATGAGGTATATTTGTAAAGCCCTGGATGATGCCGTTCTTGCACTTACTCTGCGTATTAATCGGGAAAGCCTCCCAACAACGTCCTCATTCATCTCACAACCAAAAAGCTGCGGGTTAGGAACCCATGCCACAGTTTCATCCTCAAGTAGGCGAAGGGTTTCAAGTTTTTGATGGCAAAGTAGGTGATACTTTGATGTCAAAGCAAAACCGGTGTACTGCCATTGGCGCATTGCCAAAAATGCACACCCATTGTAATGGGCAACAAATGCATGGAGGTGCTTGTACATGGAGCCTGCACAGAACTTGTTCAGCCACAAATTGTGCGAGTAACAAATGCGCTGAAATTTCCTTGCCGCGTTAGCTGCAGCAATCATTTGCTCTAGAATGGCCATATGCTCTTCTTTCAAAGGATCATTCATGAAGCCCACCAACATCGTGTGTACCCATGCCAGTAGATGAGAAGTATCGGATCCTTTGCAATTGACCCAAGGGTACGTGAACCAGTTTGGACTGTTGAAAAAGGACAAGCTAAAACTCCTGAGGGCCGGTGAGCGGCCAGTGGTTGAACAAAACCATTTGAAATGGTTGTAGGCCCGGTCCAAGACAACATCTCGCCTGTTGCTCCCGCCGGGATCATCAAAGTAGCGGAGCTTCAATATCAACATCACGCAGGATGCCACAAAGTATCGGAAAACTCCCTGTTTCGTGTTGTGAAAAATATCTCTGCGATAGAACCTTTCATGAGGGGCGTCCTCTTCATTTTCAGGCTGATGCTCAAAAGGTATGTGGCATAGGACTGGGCGAACATCATAAGGTCTCCTGGTAAAACAAGTAGGGGCCCAGCATGGACAATGCACATGGTCTTCAAAGGGAAGATCGGAAGTGCCCGCCAGACACTCATGGCACATAGCTTTGTTGATCGAAGTTTGGGATCCAAAACATCGGTTGAGCTGCCCCACCCGCTGCACCCATTTCAAATCACCTTTTGCACCTGTACAAGCTGCAAACCATTGACAGCCCCATGCAGAAAAACCAACGTCAAACAGAGAGTTGAAGTCCCTGATGATTTCAAGGAGGATGGCGTCCAACACGCTCTTCTCTTTCTTGGGGATGGCGGCCAGAACAAATTTTGTCAAAAACGAGTGTTCCTTCAAATTGGTACTTTGGTAGCATACATGGGAGGCTGCAGCAGGCCTCACACCAGAACTATTTGTTTTGATTCTCTTGCGAGTTGGTTCATCCAAATCACAGCTGTCACAAGTCAGCGAACTCTTTCCATGAACAAATTTGGACCAGGAATCAGCTCCCAAACAAGTCTCCATCATCAGGATTGTGGTGTTGCCCTTTTTAAGGCCTCGCCCTTCGTCCCCATGGAAAGCTAGGGCGAATGTAGTTTCCATTGAACGGCTTTGGTGTTGTTCACAGAAAAGGCGGTGCGTAGGGTGAAAACCACGATAAGCTTTCCAGAATTCGCACAATGAAGCTTTCCCTTCATCAATGTTTGGGCAGCCCCCCATCAATAAGTCTGGTGCTCTTTGAATGAGGAACTTGAGAAAGTCCGATGGTTTGATGTATGCAAACTTGTTCATCTCCCCTTCCATCCCCAAATCAACAAACGATAAGGGGACCTTCCACGATAGGCCCCACCTTTGTATAAAGGCATGCGCATCCCTGCTGGCATTTTTTCGACAGTGTTCTCTGCCCAGGCCCGATGTCGGTTCCACCTCTGCTCTGGCAACTTGCGCACAGTGATGCAGTGTTGAGGCAGGGGCCTCAGAGAGGCTGGGTGGAAACTGGAGCCCTAGAGCAAAAACTACTAACAGCAAAACAAGTTCTTCAATCACATCAGATCTGTGATGTAAGCTGGTCGATGTTGGAATTTTGAAAGACCTGAGTTCATAGCTCCATCAGCTAAAACTTCGGCATAGTTGTGTGCAGAATTGCCAGGGCCATTGGTCTGATTTTCAGACAGACCTGGCATGGCAAAACAATCTTTGTTGTGGAGTCATGGTCAACAGATTGGGCTACAGCTGGGTAAGTATTTGCCAAAAAGAACCAAAACGCTCAAAGGTGGAAGTAGATTTTTCCCCCCGATTTCCTCAGCAGAAGTGCATAGCCGGCCCCATGCCACCACTTGTTCATCAGTTTCTGTTTTTCTGGACTCCAATGAAGTAAATAAGTTTTGGCAAATCACGAGTTTAATCGCTGAAGATTTGGGCAGCCAGGGGTCGAACCATAGCATAATTAGCCAACAGCAACTTAATTGCTTTCTTCCCAAAAAGCCATCGAAAAGCATGCTGCACACGCTAGGTTCCAGCGTGGAGAGCTTTTGGGCATGGGTCAAATTAGGTACGTTTTCTCTTACCCTGGGCAGGAGACTTGTCCTCCACCTTTGGTTTTTTGGGCGCCCGTTTGGCCTTTGCCTTGGCCTTGGCCTTTGCCTTGGCCTCAGGACGCGATGTCTTCGGAGTAAATGGCCTGCCCAACACGAGGCCACTAAAATCTGGGGTCTGGTGATGCGGGACTCTTAAAGAGTTGTATTATGTGGCATTGCAGATGCATACTGATAACTAATGGTGGCTTGCCTGGACCTGGACTCAAGGGCCAACGACGAAGCTGCCCTGACACCCAGCCCCAGTGAATTTCCAACTCAATCATTCTGTTGAGAAATTGAGAAGGACTTGAAGGTTTTGAAACTTCCAGAATCGGCCTCCCAGATGCCTTCTCAATCAAGGCTCTCAAGTTTTCTTCATCCCTCAGGAGTCAAAAGAGTAATGCTGAGTTATAGTGGCATCGAATTCATCTTAATGTCTGGTTTGGACTGGATGTGAAATCAAAGTAATCCAAGAAACGATTTCTTGAACCCCACCACAACGCCATTCGAGTATGCTGTGGACAGCTCCTGATGCACCTCCTCCAGCGAGGTCACAGAGGCTTGCAATGCATCCGACAGCCTAGGCAGCGGGTTGATCACGGTAATGGGGCTGGTGGTAGATTCTGATTCCCTTTGGATTATGTTAAATTCTTTTTGCGTGCCAAAAACCGTTGCTGAACATCATTGAGATCATCCCTGGCCACCTCCGAAAACTTCGTTTTGGTTTTCGCTACCTGGGAGATTCGCTTGGCAATGGCGGTCCTTAGGATCAATGGAGGATTTGTCATCAACCATACTCAAACTTTTGAACAGTGCCCGAAAAAACAATTTATATAATAGGGAAGCTATGATGGCGAGGCTCAAGTACTTGTTGATCAATGTGCTAGGCAATGCATCAGGATCTGCCTCAGGAATACCTAGTTTCTTCCGAAGTTGCATCTCATGGTCGTCGGACACATCATCGTCAAGGGTGAGGTCTTCTACGTCAGCATCATCTTTTCCTTTTCAGCAAGTCTTCGAAGGTTTCTCATTGGAAAAAAAACAGAAAGACAGGTACATTTTATTGGTCACTGACTTTGCCTTTGGAACCAATGCCCCAGAAATTAGGTAAGTACTCACACCTTTGATACTATAAGTCGTCGTAAGTTTTCTATCAGCTTCAAAGGTCAAAAGGTGTCACTAGAATTCATCAGATGGTATACGGTTCTTTAACGACACATGACTGATTGTCCTGCATTCCCTTTATTATGTATAGCAAGCCCCATAGGGTGTTCCATATAAATCGCAAAGTAGCACAGCCATACATTGGGAAGAACAGATGTCATATGTATATGGGGTTCTTATAATATATAACATTATACAACATATATAATATATAATATATTAAATATATATGTTATATAATGTTATATACTAAGAACCCCTACCCTGCCAGGCACTGGCCTTCAGCACCAGCCGCATGGGCCGAAGAAGGTTCGTCACCAAAAGGGCCGTCAAGGTTTAGGGACATGTCTCCAATGCCCCTTTCATGGATGCGAGCCCGCTTGCTGACTTCAACTCGGGCCGCCTTCCTAAGCTAACATTAAACATTCGTGATCCCTGTATACGATGGAACAAATTGTAACCAGTTTCAATATTCATTCATTCTCTTTGACGTTTGAAAATACTTACCAGGCCAGGTGCTTGTAGCTTCCCTTGATTGCCTTCTCCGCATAGTACAAGGTTATCTTCTGGTAGGTGTCTTTCCTACATGGATGGCTGTCTTGGATTGTAAGGCCATGTAAAACCAAAGGGTTGCATCACTGGAAGGTGCCAAGAAGAAGACAAAGACTGGAAACAATTGACTTGTGGCCCGGAGCCTCAGCAACTTTTTCGGCTGGGTACGGCAGTGCTTCTTGACAGCTTCGATCCGTTGCCTCAACCAAATAAATTCAGCTGGCGCAGAGAAACCTTTTGGGCCTAGCGTGGGAAACCTTGAAGAGTGCACGTTTGAAACGTAGATCAAACATTGGGTCAAGGGACTCTGACCACCCCCATTCTTCCATGGTGGACTGGGAAACAAATTCACCCTCCACAGTGACTTCACATTCGGTCAGCTCACTCTTCATGATTTCCACCTCACAGATAAAGGTCTCCTGGGCTACCCCTGGCGGCATCCAAGTAAAAGAAGCCGAAGTTTAAGGGATTAAACTTTGAACCAATGAATGGGTTTCTTTAAAACATCTACCCCCAAATCCAAGAAACTAAATCGAAAGTTTACTTACTTGTGGTGGTCTGTATAGCTCCCTTTTTACAAACCCAGAAAAGAAATGGCAATAGCAATACTTTATTTTCAGGCATGTTTCTGGGTCGTATCCACAACGTTTGAAGATGTCCTCAAGAAGCTTACGCCTGGAACCCTTCGCCTTCCAGTCGTTCCAGATCTCCTCTGAAACTTTCTTGGAACCATCAGCTCGTGGTGTAAAGATTCTCTTGGTCCTACTCCTGACAGCTTCTGGGGACAAGTGATGGTCTTGAACCCGGGGCTTTGGGGCCAAAGCATCTCGAACATCTGGGATCTGATCCCAAACAGGCTCATGGATCCCAGCAAAAGGTTCAGGGACACCTTCTGGAATCACCGGTTGGGCCTTTAGGCTGCCATCTTCACTTGAGTACGGGGACCTCTCAAAGCTTTCGGGCAAACGATCATGAAGATTCTCTTGTTGACTCTTTGAAAGACGACTTGGTGGTGCTCGGGGAGTCACAACTGGTGGGGATAGAGGGCTGCCTGGTTTTTGGTTCCCGGCATGTGCCACTGAAACCACGTGTTTCGCAATCCACTCTTCATCGCTATCACCACCACTGCTCTCCACAGAACCCTCTGGGGCTTTGGGCGATGCTGAGGCCTGCAACGAACGCTGCGGAGAAGCAATGGCATCGATCTCAGCAGGGATGGTGTCGGCTCGGGCAATTGTGGCTTCCAGCTCCTGGGCTATTTGGAGAAATAATATTTACATTATATCAGATCATTCTTTATCATATGTGTCCTATACAAGAAACATGGGATTTGGTTAGAAATCGTATCATCGATGCCTATAGCACCCAAATACAGGCAGGTAACTTTCAATTGACGAACCATTTCCTCTTCACTGAGACTCTCCGACCGTAGTTGGCTGTAGTGGGACTGAACCAAATCATTTGCCCCCATGAGCGATGAACACGACCAACTTTGACTCAGCAGGGGCACCATGGCCAAATCTTGGCCCCCTTTCGTAAATGGCTACAATTTTCCAATGTTGGTTTCAACCAATCCCAGCCTTAGGCAGGGATAGGACTTGCAATCACAAGGTGGCACTGTAAGCTGGATTTTTTCTGATCAAAGATAGGGATCCAAGATAACACTTCTTTAAAGCAAAAAACTATGATTTTTCAATGGTGCTTGTTTTGGCAAACCACAACCAAAGGATACATACCCCTGGAACAAATCGGATTCGCTTTTTTGAGACATCAACAAATATGACATTCAACTCTTTATGGAGATACCTTATTGTTAATGAATGCTGGGCCCATCAGAAGTGCAGCTAGGAGATAAACAACTGTTTGTTACGATCCGGTCCAAACTGCTCCAAGTGAAATTGAACCACAAGCCGAGTGACTAGGTGACACAAGGCTCAGCAAACGAATTGTGACTGCCAAACATGGCTAATCCTGTGCTTCTAAAAGGCTGCATATCCGTATCCATGTCTTTCAAAATGCACCAAAAACACCCGGTCGGCAAAAAGCGCCGTTTGGCCGCTAAAAAGCGCCGTTTGGCCGGCAAAAAGCGCCGCAGTTTTTTTAATGTTTTTTTGGTAACCCCTTTCCAACATGAACTTTTTGTGTTGGCAGCCTTTTAATCTACCATTCGGCTTTGTACAGGATCTACCCCCTCACCAAGGGTGGTGGGAAGTACTTCCCGGACCTCCGCTGGCAAATTCAGCTCCTTGCATCCTCTGAGGTACTGAACTGTGGTGGTCAACTCGGCTGGTGACCACGAGGAGCATGGAACACCCCAAACCAGTAGGTGCACGGGAGTGGTATGGTCCACCTTGGCGATGGGGAATAATGATTGGGGAAATTATTTGGATATATTCCATGAAAATCACATCCCTTAATGAGAGGGCCTGATGCAAACGATAAGAACCCTACATCTGCACATCAAACAAATGGAGTAGAGATACAGGCAAAGACCAACGGCTGGGTTCTTTCTTCATCTCGAAGGCTGTTTCAATGGTTCGCCGGGCAAAGGGCGCAGGATAACTCCTCAGGACCCCGAAAAACTAGGAACAAGCAACAAATTAAAATTCGGATGGTTACTGATGCCATATTGTCTGGACCTGATTATTTTTGGTTTCCAATATGTATCTTGCCAAAAGTAGTATAGGGTGGTGTGTGGTATGTTCAAGTTCTGTTGTCACCAAAAGGCTGTTTGGGAATATATACAGAACACATCAAAAAATATTTCCCCCCTAAGCCAATCCCAGTGACTGGGTGCTCTTTAATGCTTTTGTTCCATGAAAGCGTTTTTTGCCAGCACTATCCACATAGGTCTCGCTGGTTTTCACACTGGATGGGTTCTTGGACTTGCAAAGCTTCCCAGTCCATAATTTATGGATGGCAGCCCCATTACTGCATAGAACTGTTCTCTTTGGTGATTTGGCTCCCCAGAGCCTCATCCACATTCCCAGCTTGAAGACCTGGGATGGAGTTGGCTAGTGACACATAGCTGAGTGGTTGTAAGGAGGGCATGGTAAAAATCATTCCATCTCATAAACATCTCAAAAAGGAAATAGGTGGGAAATTTTGTTGAGACGTACAACCCCATCTAAACCCATTTGGTTTCATCCCTGGCCTTCAGGCCAGCCCGTTTCAACAGGGCGAAAGCTTCCCGTATGTAGACATAATAGAAGAACAACGAACTTCCCGGCTGTTCAACTAGGAAATGGCCATCCATGCATGCCACCAGAAGAAGTAATTGCCCCAGCCTTCCAGGGGACTACTGTGCTCTTGCAGGGAGCATGACATACGAGTAGTTTGTTTATCACCGTGGATTTCTCGAATACATAAACTTGACAAAGGATTTCCAACAATGATCACTTTTTGGGGGAAGTAAGCCACATGTTGTGAGGAATTGTTCAAAAATTGGACTATCCCCAAAGCGCTTTAATGACCCTGTCCTTGCAGCAAGTTTGTTACTCTTTCGGTTTTGGAGAAGGGTTTCATCACCGCCTGGACAAAGAATCGTTCTTCGACTGGTACCTGCGTTTATTGCCACCCATGTTGAACAAGGTGGAGCAAATACAACCACCACCCGCGCGAATGCCGCCTGCAGGAGCAGCGTCACTGCAAGCCTTGGCCAGGAGGCTGGATCACCGATGTGAAATTGATTGGGCTGAACCAACAACTGGATGGGTGAACCAACGGTTTAAGGGTTGAAAAAAACATTCACATGCGGAGCAAATTCAAATGAAATATTGTTGTATCAAGGAACGCAAATCCGCATTCGCCATTGAAATCCAGTCGGGATCTTTTGGGAAAAGGGCCTTTCGATTTCTTGTTGTGCTTAGACTCCAAATCTAAGCCAATTTCAAAGGAAGCGCAGGGAATTCCTGACTTGGCAGCCAGACGTGAAATCCGGCCAGTTCCGGAAAAATATTCTATTATTTCCCACGGCTCTGACGACTGAAGTGGCCCCATCACCAAATAGCTGCAAAGGAGGACAACCAAGATGAAATCCTTTGCCGGCAAGTTGGAAGGAAAATTGTATGAACATGTCTACTGCTTGCTAGGACAGACTTATAACTTATCAGTGGCTTCAGAATTTAAATCGTTCAAGTGTCCTAGACTGACAATAATTGTTTCTATCACATTGCTTCTATAAAGCTGAGTGTCTTTCGGCGCCTTTATGGCCACAAGACGACGTAAAACCAGCGAGGTTTCATGGGGCAGCATGATCGGAATGGTGATGTGGCCACCGAGGGAAGTGGCCAACTAGCTGATGATACAAAAGGCTTCGATCAGGTAAAAATCATCTTCAAGTTGAACCAACATCTAGCAGTTGAGAATAGGGAGAACCAGTGAGCTAATCCCAGTCGGCCAAAAGCACGTTCCAAACGGGCAGGCAGCACCTACCCCACGAACCGCTAAGAAGAGCGGAATGCCCCTTGGCATAGAAAGTACCTGGAGCAGGAGAGAATCAGAATGAAGTAGAGTTTATAAGTCATGGGAATTATTTTCTCCGGTCAGATTGCATCTCGAGCTGTTTGAAATCTCTAAGCTATGTTCGCACAGCTAAGCTTCAGTTGGCAGCACTGCTCAGGATGAGACTGCCCCACGCTAAACACAAAATAAATCTGTGGTAATCATGAGGAGTTAGGAAATCACTGGGCCACTATTTCAATGTGAGATGCCAATAGCCAAGGCCAGTCCTTCGCACCCTCACATCTAAGCTGCCTATCCAAGCAAAACTGGATAGAATATGCTATCGTAATATGGCGCCAAGATGATAAGCCAACATGGCCATCGACGCACCCCCAACATCTGCCACTTGCATTTCAGCAGTGGATTTGGAAAAGGTTTCCGGCTCAGCTCTGGCTCACTTTCATTCCGTACCTTATCAATTCGGTGGTTTGTGACAGGGATCATTCGTTGTTTGACGAACGGGTCTTCATAAGTCTTACTGGGTCTTAGTGAGTCCTCTTGGGTCTTAATGGGTCCTCATGGGTCTTACTGTGACAATGTCTTTAGGGATTTTGAAATACCTTGGTGGGTGGATCTATGAAGTGTATTGGACAAATGGGGAAAACATGAAGAAGTTCGCAAAGTTTGGCTAGCTACAGACATCATCCCGTACCAAAAAGGTTGGAACATGAGCCTCTGCGGTGACGGTGTACTGCTCGAAATTTTGCTCCTGCTTCAAGGACTTGAAGGCATAGTCCCACCAAAGAACCTGCAGGAGTTTGGCTGGAAACGCCAAAACAACATTTTTATACATTATTGGGGCGTTTCTATTCAAACAAATTTAAGACATACGGGTGGAAAAAAATCAAAAACCAAGCCTCTACAGCCGATGCTTGACAAGCAAGATGGGGGCGGATGGAGCCGTTGAAAACCTCTTTCAAGCACTGCCATCTCATCTTGGCCTCCCCACCCTTTGGGCAATAGCGTCCCGCAAAAGTCTTCTTCCCTCCGTCTCCTCCCCCCTCATTTGGCTCACCTGGTCCCTTGTCCTCTGCCCTGTCACCTGATTCAACCTTCTTCTGAGTCTTTGTTTTGGGATGTCGTGCTCGGGATTTGGCGGCGGTGGGGCGCTTGAGCTTGGGTGATGGTGGCTTGGTGCGAGCCTTGGGGGATGCCTTGGCCTTGGCTTTGCTCTTGCCACGACGACTGGGCTTGGGGGCGGGAGAACTTGGCTCGGCCACATCACTTCGGGGATCATCCTGGCCAGCCACATGGTCGAATTTCTTCTCAAGATTCTTTCGGGGCACATCCTCCTCACTATCTACATCGCTCCCTAAAACCTCCACAGGTTCCTCAACAGGCTCCTCAATGTCTACTGGCATAACCATCTCCTTCTTTGCCTTCTTGCTCTCCTTTGCCTTCTTGCTCTCCTTTGCCTTCTTGCTCTCCTTTGCCTTCTTGCTCTCCTTTGCCTTCTTGCTTTCCTTTGCTTCTTTCGTGGGGGGGCGCTTCTGGGCAGGCTTGCTCTTGTTGGAATCTGGAACCTTGTTGGCCGCATCCATTTTCGCAACTTTGCCTTTGGCATCCTTGAATGCTTGCTGCTCCGCACGGGTAACCATTGGGAAATGCTGGGAAACAGGTGTGGAAGAAGTCTCGGCCCCTCCCCCTTTCTCTTCCCCACCCACCATCTTCTCCCCACTCTTGTCACCTTCTGTAACCTCAGTCCCACCTTCGGCCTCCCCAGCCCCATCCATATCCCCATCATCTTCCTCCATCTCGGTCTCTGGAAAGGTGTCGGGCTGGGTGGGTGGAAGCTCCTCTTCACCATCTTCCGGACCTTCAACAGAAGGTTCCTCGTTCACATCATCATTCCACCAGTCATCAGGCATGGGAAGGGTATCCATTGCATCCATGCCTCATCGAGTTGTTGATGAAAATAAAAGAAAACTGAAAGCTGGGAAGTTAGACTCAAACCTAGAATTGCCCCCAAGAAGCTGAAATATAATAACGAACAGGTTTGATTAATCCAAGGGAAGCTACTGCTAGAAGAGTGAATGGCCTCAGCACAAGCCGGGATCTCAGGTTCCTTTCGCTCTGCCTCCTTGGCATCGACGGCTTCCAAGACCAGTTGGCTCTCTGCAAGGCGCATCCTTGGAGATGGGGCGATGGCGCAAAGGTTTGATAGAGGGTCGGGTGTGCACAACTACCACCAAAAAACTATATAATTTTGTTGAACCTTTAAATGTATTTAATGGTAAGTTCAACTCACTGTTCCCAGGACCCTAACAAAGAAACTTTCACATGGAAACCGCATAAGAAAATTTCACGCAATGAAATGGAGACTCTTCAGGGCTTCTACTCTAGCTAGGGCATGAGTTCTGTCAGCTGAAGATAAGCCCTCGGGGTTCGCAATCTGCGGTGGCAATGGCAAATTCCTGGGTGTGATCTTGGAAGGCAAAGGTGGGGGAGGCATCAAAGCTGTAGCTTTGGCGACAGGGCTAGGCGTCAAAGCTGGTGGGGGCATGATAGACTTGGGCACTGGGGCTGGAGTAACGGGCGGGGAAGGAACTTCAGCCTCACCAGCGGCAGCAGGGAGAGGGCTGCATGAGGCCACATCAGGTCCAAGGTCCAACCTCCCTCGAGGCACAATTGGAGCCGCATCAGCTGGAGCCGCAGCTGCAGCTGCCACTACGACTCCATCATCATCGCTGTCACTTTCAACATGATCATCAGGCTGGGAGCCAGCCTGATCAGCCCAGTGCTCGTTCAAGATGGCAAAGAACTTGTTCAAGGTAGGATCCTTGTCAGAGCCATGGAAAGAATTGGACCTAGCCTATGTTTGAAACATTTTTCTGGACGATGTTTACTTGTCTATTGGTGGCTTTTCTTTGAACCAGCTTCATAGATTGGGGGTCCGTAAGCATGTAAAGGCACAAGAACTAAATTCAAACGGGGCACTCGGTTCTTCGAACCAGTCATGAATCTGCGAAGGCCGTGGTTGAAAAGGACTTTCAATCCATATGCGTCAACGTTGGCCATCTTGTCATTCTTGGGGAGTCCCATCATTTCCCTGAAGCTAGCTACCTGTGTCGGTTAAATTTTGCTTTGCAACAATTTGAGGTAAAACATTGAAAAGTGGAGGAGCCTCATTTATGTTTCGGGGTGATGACTGATAAAATTATGTTTGGGGAGGTGGCCGTATCCAAAGGAAAAAAAATGCTCAAACCTTTCGGCAAAGGAAATCATAATCTTGGGGGTAGGTAGACTTGACCCATGTTCCAAAATCCCCACCTCTTCCCTCATTGCTGAAATAGTCATGGCCACTACACCAGCTGGGTAAGCAGGACACCACCAAGATGCAAGCAACTCCAGGGGTAGCGGGTTCAGGGCCATAGCCTTGCATGACTTCACACCGATCGCATCATCAGAGACCCACCGAGTGATCAGACCATTTTGCCTGATTCTATTCCGGATCCCTTTTTCATTCTCTAGACTCGAGGCAAATCCCCCAAGCTCAGCCATATCAAAAAAGGTAATCCAACAACAATGGAAACCCTTGAGCCAAAGCTAACCGTTTGAAATGAATGAATGATGCTTCAGGTATTGCTTTTCGGAAACCTTATCTCTGATGCTTGTAGACAGACATGTTCCACTTCCACGCTTGCACCACCCTGCCAGACCCAACCACAGCCAACCCAGCTGGTGGCGCACTTGCAGGCGAGACTTTCATTGCCCACATGACGCCCCGGTGCGTTAGCTTGGAGGTCTGATTGGTGTTAGAATTTAGAAGCAGGTTAATTATTGGAAAATGTTGGGACTTGTTTGAGCTTAGACACCTCAAATTATGTTAAGGTTTGATTTTGGTGTTAGGTAATGGATCTAACATCAATTCCTCCCACTGAGCAGTCCGAGTTATGCGAAATCTCTTGCAGGAAATTGGATCCAGCGCCCGAACAACAATGACCATTGAAGCAGGTAAATGGCCAACAAACCTGATGCGAGCAGAGGAAAATGGACCAGATGAGTGGAAAGTGTGAAAACCCAAAAATGCCGTCACATCCCAACAAATGTAGTTTCGGTGGAAAAGCATTTATGGGTGAAACAACTAAAATTTGAAGGGTCTAAGAGGTTCGAGGTATAAGGCCTCTGTAAGGCCTATGTAAGGGAATATCCCCACAAAATATGGCCTTATATGGACAGTTCCTCCATTTTAGGATCCTGAAATTCCCATTGAACTCACGGTGTTCACCACTAGTCCTGGGTCCAAGAGTTTGACCCATACCCAATTCAATGTAATTCCAGCAGTTCGCAATTCACAATTCTTACATATTGAATCATATGGAATTCCAACGCACCAGTGACATACTTAGATGATCTTAGATGTGTGCGTATGTGTGCATGCTAGCCGCCCAAGCCCATCCTTCCTTTGAACTAATCAAATCAACTTTGCGCACTTGGTGGTCGTTGCTTCTTTTTCTCTGTCGAGAGGTATTGTGTCATTCCAGTTGGTTAATGTTGGTTACCATTGAGCATTTAATTGCCATTCCAATCGCCTGTGCTCCAAGGCCTTGAATTCCCTCCTCGAGAGCATGTGACGCGATCAAAGGGGGTGCAGAAGTTGCTGCCGTGATAACGTGCGGCTGGGGCAGGCGCCTGGCAGTTTGAAAAAAAATCAAACACTTGGAATCACTTGGCCAAAAGGTGACACTTGCATACAATTGTGACAGTAAACTCGCTGAAGAATAGCGAATAGCGAATAGCGGAGTATACAGTAAATACAGTACCGGTTGAGAAGTCGGACACCATAGGGAATCCAAACTGTGGGTTCCAAGGATTTCAAATTGCCGGACCCCACCAGTAGTTGCAGCATGGCAAGAGGGGATCAACATTCGCATTTGCAAACTTTCCGATGGTTGAACATGACAGCCACTAAAGGGTATATTTGACAGCTAGGGATTTCGGGCCAGGCGGCCAGACCCTTTCTTTGGTTGACACGATTTGCCATTTGCCCACTCGCGTAGAATTGGAATGGAACACTTATAAAGCAATGAATATCCTATTGCATAGGAAAAGCATCAACAAATACTGTACTTCAACTTTGGATTTTCAGTTTCTGTCTAAGTTGACCTGCGAGTGCATGTAGATAAAGGAAGCATTGAAAAGCACTGTATGTAGAAAGTAACAACCACCCTGTGGAGTGACTGCACACAGGTATGAAGCCCATGATTATGGAAACGCATTCATTACATTTATAAATTTTGACCATGTCCTGAAACTCCTGAACATATGCTACATCATGTTGATCATGTTGTGAATTAGCAACTACAAGCAATCGTTTTCCATGTTCTTTCTTTTGCAACAAGTGCTGCTTCTCCAAAGCATCGATTACTAGCTCTCACATTCCTATTGATGTCGTGTGGGCAGCAGTTGACGTCAGGGTACTTCAGTCCGCCAAGCCGGAACCATTTATATGATTTTATAATATTTTATATACAAATTACTACGCCGTACCCCTGGCAAATGCACATACGATTCAAACATATTCAAAAACTCCATCTTAATTCCTCTCTCCACAAATATGTATAATTACAGTCAGTATATTACAGTCATGGTACTGGACGTCATGTGAAGGGCAGAGAACATCAGCCATAGCATATTCAGCCAACAACATCGTGCGCTCACGTTGCATGATCCATGGCGTAGGTGGCCCAAAAAGTAGGCGGTGCTACCATTCGAAGGTCGCCAGATCTGGTCCAAAATGCTGAGATTGGTGTGGTGTGTGCGGAAGTCACCTTTGGTGCTCCCAAAGTCTGGAATCTTTTAACGCAATAAAAACATCTCAACACCATCAACATGCGAATATTCCGTACATTTCCGTACTCTCTAATAGAAGTATTAGAAGTGAAATGAAGGGGTCTGCCAGACACATGCACAACCGTGACATCAAAGATCCATGGTTCATGTCTTTCTCAAAGGTGCACCTCTTCCAAATTTTGACAGATTGTGTCGAAACTGATTCTGGGATGACCCTTTACCATCCCTAAAGCGAAATAATACATGAAGTCCCGACAGATTGCTGGTTACGTTCCACCCTGGTCCAATCTTCGCAAAATGAATGCCCCGCGGCATAGAGCAAGGAAATTGACTCCATTTGAGAATAAGTGGGACCAAGGAGCCGTTGGTGCCTCTATATAAATATGTTTGGGTGTCATGGTTGAGAATCACGAGGCAGATGTTTGGTGAGTTTGGTGCTTGCGCCCCGCAGTTTTTTTTGGCATCAAACTATATAGGTACATCGAAGATCAGCTTGAGTGCATCAGTCTCCAATAGGATAAGCTTCCAAGTGGATAGTTTCAAGATGTTTCAAGGCTGTACAAAAAGGGACTTGACTTCTTTGTTCATCCACAGGTCTTCCACTCGATTTTCGGGCCAGAATTGTCACTGTATATCTAAACCTGTCTCTACCTGATCCAAGCCATAGTGGAAGTGTGGGGGAACTCAGCCAAGTGAGTCACCAAGGACAGCGGGTGGTTTCTTCGCAGAACAGCCGGGTGCAAGATCCTTTTTTTTTCTGGCCGGGGTTGCATGTTCCTTCGCATCTGCCCTAATTATATATCCTATATTATCCTGGTAGTCCTGCAGCATCAACTGATGGTTTCAAATTTTGCTGGACTCATGACCGGGGTAAAATGATCTCAACGTCACTTTTGTCTGACACTGCAGGCAGCATGGTGCAGGGCTCAGTCGGCAGAGTTCTGTCATCGGAGACCAGCGAGACACTAGCACCCCGTTCAATCATTATAACAACATAGGCTTGGCCATGGTGCCATATGGTGCCTATCCGCATGATTGGCATTCAATCGAAAATCCTCATGTAGGACAATGTAGGAGTGTTGTGCAAGTTTGCCCTTTTAATCCAATGAAACAATGGCCACCCCAATCGGCCGTGCAGGTGGTGACGCTGGCTGAACGACAGGCAACACAACGATCCAGACAGCTGGAGGTGCACCGGCTGGAACAAAGTTAGTTTTCCATTGGGAATTCCAATTGTCCAATTGCTTTGTTGGGCAAATCTCATGTGATTCCATTATTTGCAATGTCTGCAAAATCCGTTTTGACTCAAATGTGCTGGTTGAGATCAACTTTCAATTCATGTGTGTTGGCAAAATCAGTTCGAATATGTTCAACATGTCCTAACACCAGAAATTTCACATAGTTGCACGATATATGTCATTTTATCCGTTTTGATTTTCAACTCTGGTATATATCATTGTCGCTCAATATGGTTTAACCACCATTCCAAGATCCTGTTAGTATCTGTTAGTTGCATCCTCAACTCGCAATCGTTCTTTTAACCATCCGCCTCAGCTTCTCGCGGTGGAGCTGCTCCGCAGCCTGAAGAGCTCCTGTCAAACGGCGCATGCCTTGGGACGGCGGCAGCTGCTACTCGCTGGAAACCGCGGACGGGGACGCGGGCCGACATTTGAACCCGCAGATGTTTAGAGATTTTTGGGATCAAACTTCCAGGATCTGGATATCATCCAATGGTGACCCATAGCCAAATTTATTGAATCTTTAATCAGTTTTAATATGTTTTAATCATTTTTAATCACATATAGATAATATCAAAAAGACTAATATAAACAACAGGTGACATATTGTAACAGATTGTTTCATTTTGTCGAAGTGTCCAATCTTCTCCAAGTCTTTTCGACAAAACTTGGTGGGGAGATCTCGCCACGGCATCTAAGGACCTGGGGTGCCGTGGTGCCAGGGGTACAGGCAGGTCAAGAGGAGGACATGGACGACGTCCTCGCCATGCTGGTGCCTTGGTCAACGCAAGGGCTGTTTCATTATAACCAAATAAGGATTTTATCAGTGACAAGTCCGATTCTACCAGGAAACATGGGTATTTGATATACTATTAAATTATTTTGATATCCTTGTAGTATATAATAGTATATATATATACTGATCATTGGTATATAATTAATAACCCATTCTTGACTAGCACAACTTGGGCACTTCATCGTGGCAAGATGTTGATTGGATCCATAAATGGTGGACATACGATGTTAGACCGTAGACTACATGGTTTGATACAGATGATTTCAGATGGTACTGTATTCCACAATATTGTCATAGACCAAGCAGATTTGACTGAGATTGTTTGGGGCATCGTTCACCTTGGAGGCCCCGCTCAAAATTGAAATCCGCTGACTTCCATTGATGTGTTTCCTTTTGTTTCTAGAGAGACCATGAAATGGTGCAAGACCACCTAGCCACAGCTGCCGGGCCATTCCTCCATGCCTGTGGGTTGACCCCTCTTCAACCAGTTGTTTTTTTTTCCTGCAATCTGTTGCTACTTAAAAAACTGGCAACGCACATCCATGGATGCTTCTTCTGTCGGAGGCTAGACTCGGATTTCATGAAGTATTTATCATTACATGAATGATTCAGATCCCAATCACAAGCGTGTACCCTTGTGCACGGATTCTACAGTTTTATTTTGCCACCGAGAATTTGCGAATGATTTCATTTTCTGCCCAAATGTACCCACCGCTTGCAGTGTGTGTTTTGTTTGACGTGAATTGCCAAGATGACATGTTGGCGAAGTGTTCGTCTATTTACTCCTTTGAGATTTGACTTTGAACAATCTCTAAAAGTTTTGGGGCGTATAACATAGATTTAAATTCTTATAGTGCCTTTGAATCATCTATAAAACAAGGTTTTTGCCTGCTGAATTAATTTTGCTGGTTTTTGGGCATTCCTCAAGACCTTGACCGAGGATCAGAAGATGACAGAAGATCAGAAGTTGGGTCCAAGCTTCAAGAAGATCGAATGGTGCGCGTAACTTCCATGGGCCACTGGGTACTCTAAGTACAGTAGCGTCCTTCAAACATCCTTTCGCCGATAATTGGGGATATCTGTACCTTGGGGATCACCTTGGGGATGCACTCAGCTGAGCCGGAAGCGACGAAGCGGCCTTGGCAGGTGCAAAGCCCAAGCGCCCACTGAGTGGGTTCCGGGGGCCCGATAGGGGAATCGGGGAATCATAGGGAATCCCAATGATGTCTGTGGATTGGATTACATATGAGTCATATCATGTCATATCATATGAGTACACGAGCTTGGACACAATCTGTTTGGGACTGTTTGGGATTTAATCGGGATTTAACCACAGAGAGATCAAACCACACCCAACATATCCCAACATACTTTTAACATATCTTTTCAGCATGCATGTCTTTGTTTGTACAATTCTATGCATATGTTGTAGACCGACAGACCAGTAGTTCCGTCTTGATTAAGACCCAAGATTCAAAATTGCTGGTCTGGTTCGCACCATTTGGAAACGATCCCTGACTTTGTGAATGTCTAGCAACCCCAATTTCGTCCAGTGGAGCAGCCGCTCTTCAGCACTGCAACTGCCACAAGCGGTAGACTGCAGGTGCCACAACCCGCACGATTCGGTTCTCACATGCAAGTTCGTGTTCATTGGAGTTAGGCCCCTGGATATGATTCTCAGCCATGGTGGGAGAGGCAAGTTTGAGCTTGTCAATTAGCTGAACCAGGTTGCGGCTCATCGTTTTATATATTCTGAAGACACTTCTAGAATCTTCATGAATCCTCTAGATCCATCTACAGTACAGCGTACATTCCCAGATTCTTGCTGCCTGCTAGTTGCCACCAGGCTATCTTCTGCTGAGTTTTGAAGTATTTGATGGCAGTAACTTAGAAATGGGATGTTTCAACCCGACTTCATTGGGACATCCTACAGCATCCGACAGCAGTCTATTTTGTCCATCAAACCATATCGACATGTAGTTTGTGATTCCAGCCATCAGCGGTGAAGGCACTGCTCCCAAAGTCGTGTTGCAGTTGCTGTATGGTCTGGTGGGGCCCCACAAGATTACAACAAGCATCCTGAACCTGCGCCGAAACACATCCTGCAGCTTTTGTGCTAAGGTGATGGTGATGGAATCTACTTCGAGTGAGTCAAGTCTAAGTCTAAGTGGTTTTGCAAGTACCTGTGGTTTGCCGTTTGTTGCCAAAGCAAATTGCCAAGAGCATGATCCCGCAGCCCGCTACTTGTCGACCAAGCTGTCTTATACTTGAACCCCAATCCAACAGAACCCAGGACCCAAGAAATAAAAGCACAGCCGTGTTCTGTTTGGATCAACGAACCTGCATCCTTAAGGGATTGCACTGTTCTGCTGCAGAGGACTCCCAAGGATGTCAGCTGCAGGTGTCGAATTCGTTTTGAACAGTGAAGTGTTTGTAGAAAGCCAGCACCAAAATTGAAGTCTCAAATCATTAATGATTAATGGGTATGTGCTAAGCGCAAACAGTCTTGCGAGACCTCTGGTGTCCCAATGGATAGAAGGATAGAACTTGACATGTCACCAGACAACACCAGACTGACAACATTTTTATACATTTTTTAAGAATACGTTTTGCAATTCATGGCTGGCCACCTCTGAACTTGAATACGCACCGTTACGCACCCCAAAAGTTAGGTGTTGAAGATAACCTATCGAACTGGGCCAGGTTTGCGCCGCTCAAATTTCTGGGGCCATCAGAATCAGAGTTTGCCAACCACCACCACTGCTGTTACTTTAGATTGCAGGCCAGCGGCTGTACTGAATTACATGCGATTGGAGATGGGTTTAACATGGTTTAACTTGAATGCTCAAACATTTCAAGGTGCCAAAAATATCTTTGCAGGTTCGGGCCGGGGGCCTCAAAAAGGCTCACATCGATTGGATCACGATGCCCGTTGTAGTTTCATCACGTCATGCATCAAGTGATGGCGCGGCGTTTGCATTCGCAGCTTGGCTTATGGTCGACTCACAACAGGCATAACACAACCAGATCAGCCATGGGTATGGATCAAAGCAGGTACTTGGCAGCCCTTTTTGGAAAATATGGAATCACCACGAATCACATGAAGATCAGTGTCACATGAAACCAGAAAGAAAGGCCTCCAACGAGGGTTGTTACTGTGCGACATGGCCACGTCCAATTTCAGAGGTTTAGTCTTCAGGCTGGCATGACTGTGTGGCGAACCTGGCAACATCTCAACCCCCGTTATGATTACTTATGATGGTTATGGATGGTTATGGTTTTTCCAGGGGATTCCAGGGATAAAAAGAATACCAAAAGAGAGTTTTTCAGGCCCAACATCAGGCCCACTGAGTTCCTTCAGATTTTGGCGCATTGCATAGTGGCAATGGTCGGGCCGCCATCCTGGTAGCACCATGGTCTCACCAGGCCAGGTGAGAAGTGTCACTAACAAATTCAGGCCATGGTGCCATGGTCCAATCCCAAACATCATCTTGATATCATCTTGATTGCGGTTCCAACATAAGACGGATAGGGATGAGATGGGATGAGAATGGATCCAACTGCAGGCCACTGCGATATAGTGAGATTGCAATCACTCTACGCCTTGAAGCCGGCAGCGTCTCACTGCTCAAGAACTGTCTTGATTTAATGGAAGCCGGATTGATTGTTTATTTCCATCGATCTATCAAGTCTCCATCTCCAGAGGAAAACCACGCATCATCAATGTAGCATTGATAATATCTTCATTCCATGCATCATCCCATTCCATCTCGACATGTCAGGGCATCACAGTGAGTCCCAAGATCAGGTGAGCCGGAACCCGAAATCTGGGATCTCCTGGCTGGATCGGCGGAGGAATCCAAAGAAGCCTGTCAGGCAGGGGACGCAAGGAACCGGCTGAGTTTAAATCATGCTAACACCATTGTTTCAAAGTCCAACTTGCTTCAGATCAAATCTGTTCCATTCTTGCCCATTGGCCACTGAATGTCATCATAATTACTTGTATGAGGAATTCAGGTGAAAATGATATTGATTTTTTATGATTCAATAGATTTTGTGTATGTGCAGAGGCGAAGGGTAGCGGGGAGCTTCTGGATTTGATCCGGGCACTCGCAGGTCGCTCCGCCGCCTGCGGCGCCGCCTGCGGCGCCGGCAGCACCGGTGGCAGCGCCGGTGGCGGCGGTGGCAGCGGTGTCTGCTGAGACGCCGGCGACGGAGAGCGAGCCAGGGACCGAGCAGTGGTTGAAGGGTCAACCGGTCAAACCCTTGATGCTTATTGGGGATGACAGGGGGAATTGCACTTAATACCCATCAGATATCTTGAGATATCGTGATATCATTGATTCTCAAAATGCTTTAGATCCAAATTGCAAATCCAAATCAGTCCAGTCATGGGTCATGGGATGTCATGGGCCTTTCGATTTCTTTTACAGTTCTTTTGATGCGTTATTCCGTTATTCGTCGAGGCATCCAACTCCGGCCGCACCTCCGTTTCGATCCAGGGCCTCTGTGGGAGAGCCCAGTCAGCCCAGCCACTGGGAGAGCTACCGATGATTTGATGTCTATGGAAGGAAAATATATATAATGTGGAGTAATTAGGGTGACTACTGTGAGCTATATAATATATACATATGATATCATATGATTACTTTTCAGTATTTTTCATTCATATATTACATGTCAAGCAAACCTATCGCCACACCCGGATAGTTCAGAGTCCATTGCAGGCACGGCTATAACCTTCAAACTGCCACCAATAATCATCAATACTCAGTATAATCTAGTATAATCAGTATATAATCAGTATTTGTGATGCCCCATGCCTTTTTCATCCCCATGTTGCGGCTACCGCTCAGGCCTCTCGCCTCATCCCTGACGAGATCTCCAAAGATGCGCAGCTCAACGCGGCGATCGCCGGCAGCCTGCCGAGGACGCACGACTTCGAGGCACAGAGCTGGGCTGTATGGTGACCATTGGTGACCTGTGACGTATTTGGTGGTTTCATGTGGTTTCTGAAAATGGGGGATCCTCAAAAACATGGGTTTCAATAGTGTTTCAATACTAATATGGTCTAATTATGTCTAATTATGTAGATCTAATCAGGATGTCTTGGGGGTAACCCGATTTTAGGAAGCCACCGTTTTTGTTTAATGATCATGTAAAACCCAATGATGGATATGATGGATTCCCCTTTTTTCTTGAATGGTGGGTAATACCCAAATGGTGAAATTGGGTATAGTTCCAGATGGTATGGTGTGCGGAAGATGGATCAACGGTCCTCCGGGCAACAGAATTGAGCATGTAATTGAACAGTATTTTAAACTTTGGTACATTTTTTGTAGTATGGATAGCCTTTTGCTACCAACCAACTCGGTAAGTCCGTCCTTGTACATTGAGCTATGCACCTGAAAGGTTCATCGGTGCATTTGGAGGCTGCGCAAAGCCAACGCGCGCCAAGTGGGTCAGGATCTCAGTGTGTTCATGGCAATGTGGGGGATGGGGCAAATTTGGATCCCCTAAAGTTGAAAGATGCATATTTTGAACAGAAACCCCGTGCTGAACAGCCTTTGGATCACAGGCAACCCATGACTTTGACCCACGCCAGCTTTGTCAGGGATTGTCGTTGACAGACAAGCAAGAGCCAAGTAGTGCTTTGGAAATAAAGGTGCGCAGAACCAGAAGAGACAACAGGTCAATAGGTGTAAAGAAACAAAACGGCACCAAACATCACCAAACTGGCAGATGTCATGGCACCTTTTGATCCAAGATACCAAGGTCTTCAGATGCCAGAAGGTTTGCAGGGTTGGGTCAGCCACCCTGACAACCCGTGGGATCATGGTGGTGGATATCTGTTGTCTTTTTGTGCGGAAGTGTGTTGCGTACGTTGACTTGAGAATCCTGTTGTTTAGCCACTTCTTTGGGTGGTGAATGCGTAATAATGCGTAGAGCAGCTCGACTTGAGCCTACAATCCCAAGTTACCCAGTCACCAGTCCCAATCGCCTGGCTGTGGAGCTGCAGTAAGGCTACAGCCTTGGCAGACATCTTCTGTAGCTTCGTGCCTAGTGTCTGGGCTTCCCAGAGCGATTGCGGGTGATGGCTATGCGCCAACCGAGGGTGACAACTTAGGATATCACCAATACATGGATTGCCTAGGTTTTGACACGGTGAATTCTGGGTTCACACTTTTGGGGATAGATAGACCCTGATAGACATGGACAGACCATGATAGACCCATTTATCCATTTGTTTATCCACTTTGGAGATTGTCGATCCAAATTCAAAGAATTTTTGGCATTTGCTTCTCACCATTGGGCTATATCGGGCTCAATATGGCTCAATCCTTGGCGCTCCAGCTGTAAACAGGTGGAGAGTGCCACCATCTTCGGTGAAGCCAACTTCGGGGCATGCTGCATCGATGACCTAGGTGTTGGGCGCCCAAATTTCCATGCGTGCCTTGACTGACCATCTTGATATTTGCCATGATCTCAATACTGTATTTAAATATATATATATATATATTTAAAGCATCGCCGTTCATTGTTGTTCTATGTTCTTGTGGTTTTTACATCATTACCATCACCATCACCACCACCACCACCGCCACCACAACCACCAGCAGCACCAGCAGCACCAGCACCAGCACCACCAGCATCACCATCAGCAGCACCACCACCATCAGCAGCACCACCACCATCAGCAGCACCACCACCGTCAGCACTACCATCAGCACTACCATCAGCACTACCATCAGCATCAGCATCATCATCATCATCATCATCATCATCACCATCATCATCATCATCATCATCATCATCATCATCGCATTAAATATATTGTAACAGCTTCATGGCATTTGCCAAGGCCAGAGCGTTGGGGGTGGATTTTCTGATTCACTACGGTATGCGGCCTCAGAAGCTCAAGGGGGGCAGGGCTACTTCCTTAAATGAGCAGTGGCCAATTCAAGGATGGTATGGGGGTTGTATTGGACAAATTATGGATATTCATGGGCGATTTACAGTCTCGTTGTGGATATATTTAAGGGTATTGAAACACCCCAACAAAGATAGGAAGGTATTCCAGAGAGATGGTCATGCTCCAATTTTTCAAGATCTCCAATACGGAACAAATGGGTTAGTGTTTAGTGTTTAGTGTTGAATCATGACCATCCAGTCTTTGGTGCACCCAAGCTTGATCACTCAGTGGTCAATATTTCATGGGATCATGGGTGCTATCTGCTCATGTGACATGTGCGTGTCAAGGTCACTCCTGCCTAGCTGGCAACTCAGATCTGACAGCCAGACCTGACCTGGGACCTGAGTATGTTGAAACAATTGGGACCCCTCAGCATCCTCAGCACAAATTTGATTTCAAAGAACAGGTGCAGGATCTCCAGAATTCCTTCAGCATATTGACCCCTGATCTTTTTCAACTGGCAGTGGGTAGTTGAGGCCGCAGCGGCTTTTGCAAAGCCAACAATGGGAAAACAAGTTCACATGTCTCATATATTCGGGTGGTAAGTGCATCTAAGCCCTTGCTAGCACATAGTAAACCAGGATCAAACCACCAATGATCTGAGTTATTCTAAACTATTCCAGGTTTTTCTATAATATTCTGTATTTGAATCTAACATTCTGCCGTTCTACCCATGGTTGAGGCCGTTTCTTTCTTGTTTCGACCTTCCCTAGGTGCCCACGGATCAAACCACGGTGACCACGCTCTATTGCCACGTTGAGGTGCCTGGGCCATAAATGGTGGAGATATACTATCAAGATATACCATGATCCATGAACATTGATTGAAATTGGGGATGTAAGCCATAAACCATCATATCATACATAAACCCATAAATATCACAATTCAACACAGATATTGGAATATATATATGATCAATATATGATAATGTTGGTCACCAAGAATATTTTTTTAGGTCCAACAAATCGAAATCCCTATGGCCAATTTTGAATGAGCAAGATGATGACCAACTAGCAGATTTCTTGAAACATGGTGAAATTTTCCGGTGAAACACCCCGAGAAGCTCCCCTTCCAAAGCGCAGGTGGAAGTGGATGTGGAACACCTGGTAGACACAGTGAGACACAACTTCACACCTGACAAGCGTCAGGGTTCCTGAGGGTCATGGCGGAAAGTACAGTAAGGATTGTGGGTACTCGTATCACATGTGATGTTTGATGATCTTGATAGCATGTCTGCTTACCAAGCTCTTGTACTGGATATACTATCCTGTAAAGAGGCATCAAACAAAGTGGCATAGTGCGAGAAAAGCTCGTTTTTTCGCAGTCATAGTGTGACATTGAATCGCTTTGAACAGTTATAGTATGTTATAGGTACATACTACTTGACACAACATCTGCCTTGTGCCCATGAAAGTGTATGAATTGTGAGGTTTCCTACCTGTGATTCTAATGTCTGGCATCTTCAACCATTTTGAAGAAGGCATACGTATATCATGGTATATCATGGTAATTCATAGTATATCAATCCGAATTTGAAGGGGGTTCGCTATCGCGACGGTTCACAGAACCTCGCAAAAGAACAAAGCATGCCACCTGTTGCAAACTTCTGCCAGACATCCAGAACCTTAGGCACCGACATCACTTCAGGCAGATGTTTGTTTTTGGTGATTCCGGGTCACTCCACCATGCTCCAACAAACCTCCCTACTTGGAAGAGCCAGCCTCACCTCGCCCACGAGGTTTAGCTTTCATGAGCAGTGTGCAGTTCTCGTCTGGAATGCTACAGGCTGCAGGGGAATGGGAACCAATAAAGAAGCTTCAGGAAATCAAGATTCAAGTGTCCAGAAAAGCTAAGTTCAGTTTCTCTACCTTGAGGCCTTTGCTTCTGCAGTGTGGGTTTCGAAGGTCACACATCAAAGATGACTGATGGCAAGAGGTGTTGTTCCAGCCCCCGCTCCATGAGTGCATGGGCTTGATATGGTTTGATCATTTTGGAGGCTGGAAACCCACTGGAAGCCATGCAACTGGTTGGAATATTCTGTGACGCCCCCCACCGATTTTACATGCCGTCGCAGGCAGTTGAGGAGCTCCGACAGGAGGTTGGAGTTGGTGCTACTTGTACTTGATAGTGATTGATGGCCTTGACACAAGCATCGGATAAAATCCGTGTGGGACAGTGAGGACATCAATGGCCATTTTTTGTCTGGATGCTGAAACCAACGAGTTTTCACAGCTGCTGATGACACTTGGAGGCAGATGAGAAGGGAAAAACTGCAGCTCCACAGGCGATACACAGGGAGGACAGAGTAGAGAATGGGGTGGAATGAGAATGTACAGATTGTGCAGGATTCCAACGAATAAAACAGAATCTATACACCATATATCCAAGACATTCCAAGACCGACTGGGATAACCACCAAAGTGCAGATGCCTTTGAGACATGTATGAATAAAAATGGGGATAGCACCAACAAAAGTGAATGTCATCAACCAATATGTTTGGAATTAAGACACAATTCAAAACCCTTCATCGCCCTCCAAATACCTGCAACTAAGTGATCTACATGTTCAAGGAGCAGCCCACGTTGCTATGTTTATGGGCTGTTGCATTTTGGCATGTTTAGGGTTGCAGAAGTATGATCGTAATGGTGTCAGGAATTGGCAATGAAAAGGTTTGAAAAGGAACTCAATATAAGAGTTAGGCGTGCTCGTGATTTTCTTGCAGACCTACCAATCTCGAGAGGACCCTCACTTTGGAATTCCACGAAGAAAACAAGCTCAACTCTGACAAAAGAAAACTTGAAAGTTTTGAATAACACAATCTGGATAAATCGATAAATCTGGAATGTTTCGAGAATTTCTACCACTGGATCCCATCGCAAAAAGCAGAAGGTGAAGCCCTTGGGCGTCGGCGAGACGTTGGGCTGCACCTCCCCAAAGGTTGGCGATGTGGATGCGGTCAGGGGAGCTCAGTGATATGGTAGCTTTGGGACCCTATGGGACCCATAAGAAAGCAGTGGTGGTCCAAATTATATGCTTGTTTCATCTTGTTTCCTGCATGGCTAGTGTCGTTCGCGACTCTACATGACTCTACATGGTTCCTGTGTCAAACAACTCCATGAGTTTCTATGAGGTGCAAGTCATTGCAAGTCCACGAGACTTTGGACCTTTTGTCGACATGAATGATGGGCAAGCGTGTCACGATTATATTCAAAATACCATAAACATCCAGAACATTCCAGAATCATTCATCTTGGGCCATTGTGAATCCCATGATGTATGGGTTGGGGCTGCATCAACTGGTCATGAATCCGAACTTTAGAGTTCATCTCTCCCATTCGAGGTCATTTTTGTTTGCGACGGACGCTTTCACTTGGAGAGTGCCATGATCCAAAATCCGCCTGCCTGACCTTTTGAAGCCGATTTGTGGTGGCTTCAGTCATACCAGCTATTCCTGAGAGGCAAACAGAAAACCTCGTCATCCTGAAACCCTTCTGGATGCTACTCTCTCCAGAAATTATGGAAAATGAATGAAAATGAATGAACATTGTGATAACATGTAATGAACAGAATCAGCGCATCGAATCTTTGATCTATTGGACCATTTGGACCCCCTTGGCTGACAAGCGGCCAGCGGCCAGCGGCCAGGCACGTACAAGGCCATTTTTATCGCTACGATCCCGCGTGCCTCACCTTGACGCAGCCCCGGCTCGAGTTGCTCCAGTTGCGTCGAAAACCTGGTCAAGGTTTCGTAGCGTGTTTTGTGCAGACTTGATGCTTTTTCCATCCCCATGTTAATTACATGAGAAAATCCCTGGCCAAACACAGTTTGTCTGGATTATTCTTGGACTATTCTTGGAGTGTTGTATGATTGTAATTTGAGCTTCTCACCACATTTCCTCCACACTTCCAGCCATCAGGCGCGAAGGCTTCGCGCACAACGAGCTGCATGTGCAGCGCAAAGCGGCCATTGCCGCCGCCAAGGACGCACGGCTAGTCAGGAAAACCCAGAAGTTTGTCAGCTGTGATGATTCTGATGATGATGATGATGATGACGACACATCGAATATCTAATAGTTTTGGATACCAGTAGCTTGGAATTTTCAAATCACCATCATCACCACGATTCGGTTACAACCCATTAGAACCGGAAAGAACAGGCGTATAGGGCTCGCGACCCTAGTGACAAACCAGTTGGCCCAACTCAAAGCATATCCTGATGTGGCCGGGATCATTTATGCCCTTTTGAAATCTTTTGAATATAATTATAGAACATAATAGAACCACTAATTAGGGACTTTGTGCTACTTGAGCACCCAAAGTCAAGACAGTGCAGCGCCAATTCACGGCCTTTTTCATGATTCACAACGCTCTGTACAGATAGATTTTCCTGGATGTTGATTTGCCTAGTCACATCTAGTCACTACTAGTTGGTAAATGTTTCAATTCTGTTCAACATGTTGGACCATGTTAGTTTGTAGTATGGAGCTTGACACCCTGCTGAAAATACACCAGGCATGGCTCCAATTTCTTGAACCACAAAGTTGGCCAGTTCCAGTGTGGTTTCGGTTCGCTTCGGTTCGGTCTCGGTTTCTAGTATTTGCTATAGGCCCGGTTCGGTTCATGTTCGGTTCCTGCGGTTCCTGCGGTTCCTGCGGTTCCTGGTCGATTTCGGTTCGGTTCGGTGTTTGGAATTTTCCGGCGTCGGAAAAGCACATACAGATTGCTTCCCGCAACTGGTTTCATGAGCAGCGGCTTTCAAAGAGCGGAGAGAGCTGAACTCGGAAAACCAAAGCTTCCTGAAATTGTCAATGCATGCAATTTATTATGAAGAAACCCATATTTGCTTTTTTCATGGAACTCAAAAAGCAATTCCAACTTTTCAAATCAGTTTATTGGGGGAGGGTAAGACGGTTCCGGTTCCTCCAATTCGGTTTTGCACACGGTTCCAGCGGTTCACGGTTCCTACGGTCATAGGCTATTTGATTTTCTACTGTTCGGTTCCACGGTTCCGGTTCGGTTCCAGAACCTTACTGCAGTTCAATGCTTTTCAAAGTACTGCAATCATTTATTGTACAAGCCACCACATAATCCACCATATATGATATAATATATATTTATATATATATACATATATTGTATGCACATAATTATATAATTAATATTATATATTATAATCTAATCATAGTGATAGGACCCACTTTGGACCAATTTAATGGCCCCATTATACACCTGTTCTCCCTCAGGTGGGGCTGGTGCTTGGAACGCTGGGACGACAAGGCAGCGTGGGAGTTCTGGAGGAGATCGAAAAGTTGTTGCAACACCGAGGCGGGGCAGCCATGGAAGGCGCTGAAATTGGGATATGACAAAACATGACAAAACAAAGATGGGGAGCTGACATTGCAAAAACATGCAAAAACCATGACTATTTCTGAGGGGGACAACGAGTGTGCAACACTATCATCAAACCAACAAAGCGATCTAAACAACATAGTAAATGAGTTATGTTGATTGTGGTAAAACTCAAGAAACTGAGGACACAAGAACGCAGATTGGAATGTTGCCAGCATATTTGCCAGTGTCAAAAAGCGGTGGATGCCGCATCCCAGGATGTTCCCCCTGCTCACAAGATTGATCATGTTTGTGAAACTACATTTCATCTTTAAAGGCTGTAGGCATTATTTCACGACATTTGACTCAGCTTTCCAACGCGGTTCAATCACTGACATTTGCACTAGGACCTTTTGAATCCTGTTGAAGCGATGGTGAGTTGATGGTGAGTTGAAATACAGTACATCAGGAAACTTGTTCATGCAGACTTGCTGCAGCAATAAAAACAATCTAAAGTGATCCAATTTCCCAGGGGCTTAGGTATGAATCTATGCCCCTGAATTCTGCACCAGGTTCCTAAGTGAGAAATATAATGAAAATAGTAGGGCTCTCGGATGTCTGTCATTTTGTTTTCACAGCATGCTATGTTTTTTGCGGTTTTTAATGCATAAACCATCCATTCGTCCATCCATTTTTTCGGCTCAGGTGTGGCCCATTTCACGATCCTCCTCTCGGAGATCTCACCGGAACGACTGGCGTTGATGCCTGGGATCCTGGGGCGCAACGAGCCCAGCTAGGGATGTTACGATGCTGTCCTGGGGATGATTCTGTGATACTCTGTGACATGCTGAAAAAATCACCTCTAATCCATTCGAATCCTCAAAACGTCAAAATCTCTTCGCCCAAGGAATTGGATGATTTCAAATGTCATCCATTTCATCCGGTCAGGTCCACAGTCGACGCATGGGTGCAAGTCGCCTGCCCGCGTCTGTCCATGGACTGGGGAAGTAGTGCCTACTCGAAACCAATGTGCCTTGGCAGATCTGGCAAGATGGGAATACTTCGGAAGTATTGGGCAATTGAATGAATTTTAGTCTCACAGGAGTACAGGAGTTTCACACGAGTCTCACATTTTTTTTAATGACAAGGACATCATTTAAGGAGTTGCAATGTTTTTCAAAGATTGGGTGTCGAAGATTGGCAAAATCCCTCATGTTGGTTGCTCCATTTGTTGGTGATTTTGCGGGGTGCTATAGTCATTTATGAGACCATGCTCTTTGAGAAAGCACATGATAGTGGGCTACATGTCTCTTTGAGTTGTTTTAACCCCCAAGTAATTGATGTCACCGCCAATTTTGTTGATCCCATTGTTTTTGTCGGTTGGATCCTATATTTTGATGAGTTTGTTGGTAAGTTGGCTCACGTTTTTATTGGTTCAATCCAAAGTTGTTGGGGTTCCACGGGGTTCCACGGGGTTCCAAACGATTCCAATCCCACATTTGTCCCCCCCAAACCCTGCCGAAATCCGAAGGCTCACATCTTACGAAGCCCATGTGGCCTTTGGAGTCGGGACCCAAAGTCTGGTGGAAATCCACGGGTCACGGGCAAAAAACCCTTGAGGTTGGCAATGGAATTCCCAAGTACTGTCATTAAAAGAAATTAAAGACAACAAAACTCAGGAAAATAGTTATTCTTACCAATAAATATCCGAAATAACCCAGCAAAGACCCGGAATTCAGTAGCAATTTTCCTGTTTTTGGTAGCATTGGAATACGTTGTATATTATGTATATTGGGTTGTGGTCAATAAACTTAGGACGTGATCAATGGAGTTGGGTATATAACCAACAATCATAGGAATGTCCAGACAGGGCTTTGGCAACAAATGCATCGAAATTCAGCTGCCCAATTCTTTGATCCCTGTGGTGCTGATGGTACTTTATCCAGCCGTATCTGTGGAACTGGAAGGTGTTCTATCAAAATTTTGTTCAATACATATCTTACCAGGGGCATGTGAGGCCATGCCAACATCTGTGGTAGTTTCATGTGAGATTCTACTGTAGCTGTTGAACATGTTGAACCAGATGGCTGCCCACTGCAAGCAATGTCTAACAAACAGAATTCATTGAGCTTGTGAAATGACACTTCATGCAATGATGTGCAATCTTTTTTTGGAGGGGTCTGTACAACTTCATCCTCAAGGCTTGACATGTGTCCTGACACGTGTATTGGCCAGAACAAGAGGCTTGCATCTGTATCCCTAGCGGAGCTTGACTTCCACTAGCCCAGCTTATTGAGCCATGTCTGTTGCTGTTGTCACCGGTGCCAATCGCATCCCTGGCATTGGCTATGAAATTGCTCGTGGCTTAGCTCATCGCTTACCTGAAGGCAGCAGTGTGGTATTGACTGCTCGAGTACCTGAAATGGGCCAAAAAGCGATTGAGAGCCTGAAGACTGAAGTTGGAGAGAGGGTGAAGGCAGGAGTGCGGTTGAAACACTGTTCGTTTATTTTGGTTTCTTTCTTTGTCACATCATACCAGTCATAACAAAGCTATATATGCAAGTATCACCAAGTGATTGCTTTTTGTACAATGCACCAGTTGCGCTTCTTCAGGTGCTATTTCACCAGCTAGACATTTCTGACGCGAAGTCGGTTGAAGACCTGCGGGATTTCATCTCGGAGTTGGGTGGGATCGATTTGCTGGTGAACAATGCTGGGATGGCGTTTCCCCTGTCAGATCCGACACCTTTCAAAGAGCAGGCGCGACGAACCGTTGATTCTTGGTGGCAGTTCCCATCCCAGGCGAATGGTTGTTCGCACAAGCATCGTGATTCGGGATCCTTGGGAAAGCTCGTAATGATTGTAGTCAAATTATGTCAAATTAACTATATATATATGTAATTATGATATTGATTGATATTGTATGTGGATCTACGTGCTTGCAGGATCATAGCAGATTTTCTGAGAGTATTTTCTACGGGTATCAGTGTATATACTATACCGTGCCCATGGTAATAGCCACCATTGCCGCTGCACAGCTGAGGATGTGAACTACTACGGCACCAAGCGGATGCTGCAAGTGCTAAAGCCCCTCCTGAAGCCCAAGTCCAGATCCGTTGGGATCTCCTCCAGCGCTGGACAGCTAGGTGTGGGCTCCTGGCATGCTGGGGCCAGGCAGTTTTCTCCATATCCGGCAGATATAACAAATCAATGGAGTGTATTGCAGTGTATTGTATCTACTTTTTGATTTAAGCATAACTCATAATGTGCAACATTAGGGAGAAGGGTCCTTGCATGATCTTGCATGCATCCTAGTGGTCCTCAAAGGGTTGTTCTGTACAGGATGCGCTCGTTTATGGTGACCTTACTTTCTCGTGGCCATGTTCAGTTGGGAACCTGCCAGGTTCTTGGTCAAGTCCTTGGAGGGACCGGCTTCTGTCGGAGAGTTTCTCAGTTTCAGCCAGGATGGGTTGCGGGTAGCCTGGGATTTCACATCCCCAAAATGATCAGAAGAGATGACTATGGATGACATCTTATGGAACTTCATAACATTTCCGACCAAATGATTGGAACGCAACCAGTTTTGGAATGCCGCCAGTTTTGTCATAAAGGACTCTCAAACTCTCAGAGCCTCTCAGCGAGGCTACACGGCTGACAGGTGCAATAAGCGCAGGGGTTCTATATACCTCATTTGTTTTTCCCCTTTTGATGTGCCACATGCTATAGTGAGAGAGGACCCCTAGAGTTTGGATCTACGCAGAGTGAATGGTTGCCACCTCCTTTCAGCACCAGCAGTATGAGTCTGTTATACACTTAAAACTTGTATACATATCCTACCATATTTATATGAGTGGGTTACACCCACTAATCAGCTATATAGCTATAGATAACTTCATCCCGGCATAGCAATGGGAATGGGTCCACTAGGTTTGACTGTTGAAGACTTGGATGCCATTGCTGAAGACTTCGTGTCAGCAGCGCATGAAGGGCAGCACAAGGACTAGCCTGGAGTGAGTCTAAACCATGCAGGAACCCCTGTTGATTTTCCCATCCAATTTGGAGTGGTATACAGGTTCGCAGGAGTGATGGGTTTTGCGCATCTTGAATGCAACTATATCGCAAGTGGGAGCATGTGTGATGTCACTGGTAGACAGCTGTTGGATGCTGTTAGTACAGAAACGTTTCATAAAATTATGGGCTTTGAACATCACCTTTGTAATTTACAATCATTTACACAAACACATGTATATACATATAATACTATATATATACAATTATATATACATATAATACTGTATACTGTATACAATAATTATTAATGTAATATATACTAAAATATGGTGCAGAGAAGATGTTTCCTCCCGTGGATGAGCCAGGGATGTCAATTCATGTGACCCCAGGAGAAGGGCTTCCCAGGTTCCGCCTACGGCACCTCCAAGACGCTGATGACGCAGCTGCATCGGGTCATGGCCAAGGAGGCCAAATTGTGGGAAGTCCCATGGTTTTTCATGCTTTCCCTATGAACATCCATGAACAATGACAACTTTTTGATGATTTTGGGGTCACCCCAAAAGTGAAGCACCACATTTGGTGAAGACCCCTCTATGTCCCGCATGGCGCCAGGCTCCACCTCCAGCATTGCTTTGTGCTGTTTGTCCTGGGCTCTGTAGAACAGACATGGCCACGGGACGCGGCACCTTCATGAGCTGCTAGGCATTTCATCGCTTCCCTGAAGGTGGCAATTTATTGATTTCCCTTGAAGGCGCATTTTGTGTAATTGGGAGAACACTGCAAATCCAAAACACTAGACTGGCAACACTTATATACTGGAATGAAAACTGAAGGTAGGTGTATGTTTGGAATGCAGCTAGACGGGACTGTAGCCATGGATTTTTCCAAAAGAAGCAGCCGCACTGAAAAGCAAGAGCCCCAGGGGCAGAATCAGCCACCATGTGGTTTGCGAACTGTGCACAGTTTGAACGTCCAAAAGCATGTCAGAAGAAAGAATGCGAAAGTGCCCCTGAAGTCTAAGCCGTCACGCCTGAAGTTATGAGCACCCAAACCCACAATGAACCATGAGGTATAGTGTAGTGTCCCACTTTGGTTCCACGGGCTCCATGCTCAACCGCGCCTTGTCTCCCACTTGTCTTCTCCCACCTGCCTCCCAGCTGTTTCCCACATGACTCCTGCTTGTTTCCATTACCATAGTCAAGTCTAGTACCGGTTCTGGCTGGTAGTTGGTGCATGCCCCCAGCCCACCTCATCAGCTTAACTTTTCAGATCATTTCAGACCCATTTTCAGCCGAATTTCCGAGGCAACGTTTTGTGGTTGGCGTCCTTCGTGGTGGGCCACTCCGCTGAGGGCGGCGCCGACACGCCGCTGTGGCTCTGCACGTCGGTTTCAGAGGAGGAGCTGCCCCAGTACCACGGGCGCTTCCTGCGTGGCCGCGCGGTGAAGGGCTACTGAAAGGTGAAAAAAAAGTGCAACATGTGGAAAAACCATGAACAACTGTGAAATGAATTGGTTAGGTTGATGTTGATGAGTAAGTTTTGATGGAAGATCATGTCCTGCTACGATTCATTTTTGAAATACCTAGCCATGAAAAAAAGGTTCAAGAGATGTTACTACGAGTCAAAATCCTTAAAATAAATGAGTTTGACGTTGCTCAACAGCAAAGTCTTGACCAGACCACAATACAAAATATCGTGATTTGACAGTTCAAGTTTAATTGTACTGCACTAGCGGATGGTGTAGCACATAGACGCACATACACGTTGATGCACATATGACCCCACTTTGTGATTGTGAATTGTTTTCATGGAATTTGTTATCCATTTAAATTTATTTTAAACAAAAATTGGATTAGCAATAAGCGCGCAATGGTGCACAATCCATCTTGCGGAAGATCTTTGGGATTTCCCTTCTATTCTTCACCAGTCACCAGGTCACCAGATCCATTGGACAGTTTCAGCACCGAGTCGGAACTCCTAAGTGATTTAAGTGGGTTCTCTCCGGGTGGTGCTGAGGATGTGACGTACAAAGATGCCAGTTGCTCAGATTGTGCTGCACTCCCACAGCTGCCGGCAGAGCAGACTACAGAAAGAGCTTCCCAGAGGCACCAACCAAGCAGTAACCAGCCAAGCAGCAACATGCATTGCGGGATATCTGGAGAAACAGAAAACCACCGCAATGTTTGTTACAAGGCAATCAAGAACTCCAAGACCGAGTCGATCTGTCTAAAAATGCATTTCAATGCATTTCAGCCAAACTACTGAGGTCTATCCCATGGATTACTACTCCAACAAGGGTGGGCCTTGGGGGAACTATGGCACCCACAGTGGTCATGGAGGCTTGGGGTGGGAAGACATCAACGGAGATCCATTCTGAACCCGCAGCAGTAGGATCATCTTTGCTTGCAAATCACCCGCTCAATGTCAATATAACAGTGCAACAAACAAATATGTTTTAACACGCGGTCCAAGTTTTTCAAGGCTCTTTAATTCTTGACAGATCTTGAGAACGTTTCATCAGATACTGGCGGTGCATGGCCGCAACCTCCTGTGTCAGGCAGCATGGGACAGAAGTGGGGCCCACAGTTCTGGAGGGTACGAAGGTCCGGCTCTTCCAGGTATATCCTATCCTTCAAACATGTTCCTGTGAATTGAACAGCCATTGCATGGCACTTTGATTCTGGTTGATGAGAGCAAACCCACTACTGAAGTTGGATCCTAGCACCCGAGAGGGGCACAGACAAGTGATCCGAAGTGAGGCAACATCATGAGATGACAAGCCTAAAAGGGCAGTAGATGAATCATATACTTGTCCTATGGCATTGGTTACATCCTGATCGAGTCCAGGTATGTCCAAGTTCACACTGTTCTTGGTTACATTCTTTTTTGTGATGGATCCAAAGCAAACATTGGGTGGTGCTTCATGTTTCTTGCGCATACTCAGAAACACCTTGCTGTTGAATACATCTACAAACTGAAAACTACATAAAGCTACAACCAAACACCAAATCTCAGGAGAAAGATAGCCACCTAGTGAGCAGATGTGCATAGGCCGAACCACCAAGTCGACTCATGTCAGCCTGTTGACCAATCTCTGAGATCTTCTGAACACTCAGGTTCCGACATCTCAGCAAAAATCGACGTCATAAAGAGGCCATTGCCTGTAGGGATATGGGCGGATATGGGGGGCACTGCGGTTGAGCTGAGAGGCAAGAGAACGGACAGAACATAGCTGCTAAAGTGACCACAGAAATGGAGTGTTTGATACTATGTGTGATAGCAATATCGAACGATGCTAGAAGCTGACATGCACCCCGTAAAGCCAAAGCAGCAAAGCACACAAGCTTGAAAAGTTACGTGCACGGTGCAAAAGTTTAACGATGGAGATCCTGGTTTGATCTAAAGTTCTAAATGTTCTAAAGCATGCCAAGAAATGGGGTTGTCTCCAAATTCTGGACCCCATCCCATGGTTGATCATTTTTCCCTATTCACTGACCGCAAAATGCCTTTGTCCAAACACCGGCTATCCACCAAAATTACAAGTTTTGATGGAGAAAAGTGTGATCATCCTTTGGATCTGGGATATTCCAAACGTATTGCGACAAACCGAATGTTTCCACCCAGGTTGAATACGACTGAGAGTGCAGAAAGCTTCTTGCCGCAAATCGAAAGGAAAAAGAGACAGCTCTTGCTGGGTGAAGATAGCCCAGCTGGAACCTCCAAAAGACAAGGATTTTCTGAGGGTTCTGATAGATGATCCGGCTTATTTGATCAATAATAAGTATCAATCACTGGGAGTATGAAAGATCGTGATGAGAATGGTCAACTGAAAGGGGTTCCCAAAGATACTTTCCTTTTTTTTCTTCAACAGTTTGCTTCAGATTCCTGACGTAGATTCACTAGACAACGGCTGAACCCGCCAGTTTGCAGTCGTGATGCTTCAGCTTTTGGCTCAGATGACTTCAGTTGGCACGAACTTGGTGGTGAACCAATAAACAAGGGGAACATGAAGCATAAGGGTGGAGACAACTACCAACGAAAATTGCTGGCAATCAATCAAATCGGAAAAACATGTCCGGAGATTGGAATAGGTTATCCTCCCCCACCATCTAAGAGTCCACATTCATCTTCACTGAAATAGAATGAGTCCACAGCTGGAATAAAAGGATGGCCCAAGGGGAAAGGTATACTTCGCGCAGTTACACCTGTGGCAAAATCGGAGACTTAACAAAGATGAGGGCTTGATTTATATAACAGTACTAGACCTTTTGTGGAGCATCTCATCTACATCCCAGAAGAGTGAGACACATCAAGGAGGGTATATGACAATGGCCCGCAGCTGGGCGACACTGGGAGATGCATGCTGGCTGGTATGAAGTTTGTATGCCAGGATTTCTCCCATGAAACCTAATCCGAAGGACAAGGGGTAAATGCAAATTTTCAACTGAAATGCACTCCACTATCCGGCACAGTGCGATTTCCATATACAACTATAATGAGAGTGCTTGATTTCCAAAGGCAAGTACATTGTTGCTTGATCTCAATTTGCTAGCAGATGCCATTGGTTGGTTGGTGGAAATGTCAAAAAGTGCTGACACGAAAGAAGGGAATGCGGGATCGCCCAACCATTGATTTCACAGTTCATTATCATTACATGGACCAGCAATAGTGGATTTGCGGGGTATCCAGTTTGGGATATCGATCTTCATTTCGATTTGCATAATGATTTGCAATGTCTTGATTTCTGCAGCTTGAAGTATATCCACGTTCTTGTTGGTCTGCATATCTTACATCTCCCCTGCTCGGCTTTAACAGCGAGGCAACGGAATATGCCCCCAGAATAGTCCTGATTGTTTTTAGATTGAAATAATACTGTATTGAAATCATACTGTATATTGAAATTATTTGAAATTACTTGAAATTTAGTATTTCCCACTGCCAGTTGAGTGGAATTTTAACGCACTTCATAGTTCCAATTCTTCACATGGCAGGTCGCCGGGGTGTGGCCATCGGTGATGGGTCCCTTGGCTCCGAGGTGAGACAATACAACACAAAAACCAAACGATACAATTTGATATGATACAATGCAATACACACGTACATTAAAGGCTTTCAAATCCACATGTGTTCATGTGCAGGCGTGTCAGCATACCACAACCATTGCTGTCACTTTATCAAACAGGAACTATGGCCACTGAAGCCAAGGGCTGGCTGTCTATGTTTGAAATGGATAATAGATTATATAGATTGCAGTTTCCCAACCGTTGGCCTACTGGATCTTTTCGGCCCTTTCTGGAGACATTAGCCACACGCCACACCACATTCGATGAGGTCATTGGATGCTGCCAAAGACCGCAGCACGCCCGTCACTTCACCCAGAGATGCAGCAGGCCTTGGACTGCCATGGACTGCCATGGACTGCCTAGTTGTTAATGTTGGGAGGAAAGTCGTGGAACAGGCCGTACTCAGAAGATTTACTTGGCCTTCCCCTGAGGTAATGGAGGTATATCACCTGAGTAGATCCGAGTAGTAAGTATTTTGAACCACCAAGCAGCAGCATTTTTCAGTGATGCCTCGGGTAGTCCAGCAGTCCTCACTAGGCAGAGACAGAGGACGTTCAGAGCGGCTCGGACTGGGGAACTTCTCAAGTCAAACGCCGTTGATCTAAGATGGCCATCTCCCACTTCAGATTGGGGTTTCAACCGCGGGAAATGCCACAGGAGGTTTGATGAATTTCGTGTCGTCAACTTCCCATGATAGCAAATACTATTGGTCAATATCGACGCTTGTCATTGATCAATCCCCTCAATTGTGTTGGGTCAATATGGCTTTCTGGGGTCAGTTGAGATGAAGAACATCCAAAAAGAGATGGTTGAATACAAAAGACGGACCGCCCATTTGTTAATCATCCATTCATCCACCCCAATTGTTGTGTCATTTGCCCTCCCGTTCTGATGGGTTTACAATGGCTTGTGTATCGTATATAATATATATAATATGATATACATTGATATAGCCATCCATTTCAAGTTTGAATCCCAACAGATAGTTGAACAAAGTGCCGCATTTTTCACAATGAATTTTGGGCACATGTTGCCACCCAGGTGATGGTAGCTACAGCGGAAGTAGCGTGACACAGTGTCCGGAGGTGCCATTGGCCACAGCATTCAGGGTTGGTCCAAACACATCTTTGTATAGTCAGAGAAAACCAGTAATCATGTGGAGTGAAGGAACAACCATGGAATATAATCGATATTAGACATTTATGGAATGATTGCTTGGGGATGATTGCGTTCCCAGCTGAACTAGTCATACTGTGGCGTGGCTATGAGGCCAAACCCCTGACGCAGTGGCAAGCATCTGAAAAGAGAACTGACTAGACTAGATTAATGTAATGTAAGCAGTATTGGAGACATTTTCACTCTCGACTGCAAGTGTACCATTTCTCAATGGGAATAGAATCCGCAATCATGTGAGCATGGCCGATGAAATATGCTCAGCCGCACGACATAAGGGTACGAAATGAACGACAATTCCAATGATAGAGTACTTTATTTGTGTCCACACAGAGATAAAGGTCCCCAAGCCCCCCAGAAAAAGAACATATCAAGTTGGATCCCCACAAACATTCACAAACTTTGGTAGGTCTCCACTATTTCCACCTATTTTCAAGCAGGTTCTCATGCCTCGCCCCAGGCAGACCTGGAAGAGCGATTCTTGGTACCCTACCTGGATGCGAAGGCCCATGGTGGGATGGCTTCGAAGTTGGGTACGTTTCAAAAAGCCGTATAATATTATAATTTATAATATATATTGTAATCCAATCTAGCAATGGAGAATCCTTGAAAATGGATATATTACAATTTTATGTTCCTATAAGTTTGACACATGTTGATTTAGTTTGCCATAGTTTGCCCATTTGTTCCGTTACCAGGTGAGATTTCTGGAAGGCAACTGGCATTGCAAATCCGGAAACTTGGCCTCCTGAGTCACCCCTGCCAGGTCAGTCCACCGCAGTTGGGGTGTCTCAGTCCGGGACTGGCGTTGACGCCTACGACTATTTAGTCATATTTCAAAGGGAATTTGGCTATGTCACTGGGAATGGCTATATGTGACTGAAACAGTTTTTGCTTTGCCAATTTGCCTGTGTCCGTGTACCATAGTTGTTCGGATGATAGTTGATGTTCTTCCGTATGTCCCCAAGTTGTGTATGGCGGTGTTCCAGGGAGTCCAAAAATCTGCCAAGCTCAGACTGTTGCACCTGGAAAGAATCTGGGGCCATGGGGCCAAGGGGCCAAGGGGCCAAGGGGCCCTTGGGGGAGAATGTCTCTGACCATCTTCTGTTTGTTGATTGATTTGCTTCCGATTTGTGGTTTATCTGTAGAATCCTTCTAGATACCTATTCAGAGCCATGACAACTGAGGGGTGTCCCCTTATTAAGTACTATACAGTAAATTGAATTATAATGTGCATAAAACTGTATACATATGCAAATTAATTTGCATATTATAATATATTATACTATATATAAATATATTATATCGAATGTTACAAAGTCATATCCCCATATGTTTGTTGACATCCTCACTCAAAGACATTCCCGGTGACGACCTGAGGCTGGTAGAGCTGGCTGTGCCCATGGAGCCGGTCACCGTTCAGGTCCAGATTGATGGGGACAAAACACCTTAAGCTTCCGGTGTGGAACATAATGGATAAAAGTTGATACAGTATATATTCTACATATTATAATATACAGTAATTACATTACAATTCTATCTCTCTCTCTCTCTATCTCTATATATAATTATATACTGTATATATATATATATGTAAGACTATATATTGATATATACTGTAGTTCCTTGATGGCAGGAACATGGATGTTCTGACGTATCCGAATTTCGATTCTTATGGCATCAGGGCCTCGGTCCTCTCCTCGCGATTGAGGCCCCCAAGGTTCGCCTCAACGGGCATCCGAAAGCGGCGAAGCCGCCGCGACCGAAACCCAAAGTCGCCACCCCGGTCTTTGGGATTGGTACCCGAGCGTCCTTCGGAAACTTCGGCACTCTGACCCCCAGGCAGAGCCCCAGGCAGAGCCCCAGGCAGACCCCCAGGCAAACCAGCGATTCGGAAGACAGCTTGAAGCAAAGCTCTAGAGCTGGAGCTGGAAGTTCTGCAAGTTCTGCAGCTGGTGTGATCCCCGGGACCTTTGTTTCCCATGATCACGTCACATCTGGCCACGCACCTTCCAGACAAAGAGCTGGAGACCCCTCTGTGGCAGCCATTCCCAATCCACCTGAGCAAAAAAGCTTGGCGCAGCGTCTTCTTCCGTTGCTGTCGCGGATAGAGAAACTTGGATCCACTGATGATCATGCTTTTTAGTTTCTACTGTATGGGTTCCTGACGCCAATCCTTTGCCAACGCTTGCTTTGCCTTTGTTTGGAATCCCATAAACCCCTTTTGTAAACATGCAAGCGACCGGTTGACCATCGGCATGCATTGGGATTACTGTAGCCACAATGCAAGCATTTGAGTCAGTTGACATCAGTTAACCATGAATCGTTGGTATATCGGTATATTTATATTTAATCATCAGTATTGTCCATTGGACATTCAATGTTTGATATCCCAGGAGACGAAGCCTCATTTGGTATTGTGCCATGTGGCGCGATGCCATCATCATCCAGAGACATCAGCTGCATGCTGTCGAGAGCTCCCAGCTGCTGCGGGAGCAGGCGAACCATCTGAAAGAGATGGCGCTACAGCGGCAGGTCGAAGGGCTGCAAAAAAAAAGGAGGAAATACATTGAAAATCATCGAAATACATTAATTATTGAATATGGTTGGAATAGGTTGAAATGGATCAAAAATGGACTCAATGGAAGGGTTGGTTCCAATTGGACTTCCGCGGAAGTACCATGGACCATTGCCACTACACTGGTGGCTTTATTGGCTCTTCCCATCTCCTCCCCAGGTAAACCAAGAGGAGCTGGCCAAAGTGTCGCAGGCCCTGCGCGTCAGCGAGAAGGTCCGCCACGACCTGCACTTGGAACTGGATGAGGCCGTCGATGCCATGGATGCCATGGATGCCACCAGACTGCCACAGCCTGAAGCTGCAGAAGCTGCAGATGTTGAGGAGATGGTGACCTGGATTTGCTCAAGATCTGTTTGTTACTTTACCATTGGTGAATCTATAGGGAATATGTTTTATTCTTATTGATGGCCGCCTTAAGTAAATACTAGGTGATGGAACTATCTTGGCTCAGAGATGAATTGGAGATGGCCAAGATTTCGGAAGAAGAGAATTCGGAAGCAGAATGTGCCGTTCTTCGTTCCTTGCGGCACGAAATGGCCGTTCAGCGGCAGCAGGATCGAGCTGAGTTCAAGCACGAATTGCAGAGTGAGCGGAAGTCCTTTGAAGAACTTCGTCAGCAGAACATGTACAGACCACATGTCTCCCTCTCACCCAACACTTCCATTGGTGAGATCTCCTCATCAGGGGCAATGGGTGCACCCTCACCACGTCGGTCCTTGCGAACTATTGTGGCATCGCATTCACATCCGAAATCAGAAGAGGCAGTGGACGGCAATGAAGGGCGGTGAGTAACTTTTTTCATAAGACGCGAACCATCGAATATGCGGAGTCGTAGTCTTAGTCTTAATCTTGAGCAAGACCACAAGCTTCGTGTTCCAACAGAGTTTGCATCAACAATCACTAGTCTGCCTTGGAAAGTCTTACAACCCCAAGCTACTGGCAATTGTAGTGAAGAAGTTGGTGGTTTCAGCCGTTCTCCTTTAAAAAAAAGGAAGCTGACGGTGATCGGGTTGACTAAGGCGAGAATAATCCTGGAATTTGATGGATTTTGCACATTTCCCATCTTTTTCCCCAAGTACAGACTGTGTTTCCCTGAAACCAATTCTGGAATTTTCAAATTGGGAGAATTTCCATTTATACATTTGTCAAGCGATTCTGGTGCTGGAACCCAATAAATCTGGGGTCCCATCCGACCTTCCATCTCTCCACAGGCTGAGAGGCTGCTGGCTGAGGAAGCACGAACTGCAGAGGGTCGGTGTAGCGGGCTGAGGGATGAGATGCACATTCAGGCGGCTGGTGGCATTGGAGATTGGCCAACAAACCCATGGGTTGAAAGTGGTGAAAAAAAATGGTGGAACGGTAGAACCAATAATCAACCACACATACTATGTTACTGGTACGAATGAGGCTTCCTTTGCTAGATTTTGCCAGGATATTGCTTGTGGCGTTTGAGACAGATGATGGTTTGGTGGCTTGTTTCAAGCATGCTACATGTTCCAAAAGAATGAGATCCACGAAAAAAGGTCCCATTCAGGTCGCAACGTGGCCAAATGCAAGTTATCTTTGCTATTGTTTAGCGAGTTTTTGCTCACAAATCTAGTTGAATGGCTTCAATTGCGCCCCTCTCAAATTGGCTTCCCACTGCAACTAAATTATTGTAACCCCTCCAAGACAATCTCCCCACTTGCATCCATGGTGCTTTTCTATGGGTCTTCATTCCCCCACTCAGCACATCCAGAACCCACTTCCAGGCTGTTACACCCCGACTTCATGAGCCATATCACCCCCAGCATCATTTTCTATTTCCAAATCAACATTCAGTTCCCATCCAGCTCCAGGACATCATGTTGCGCCGTGTGCGGCTCGATGAACAGCAGCTTCACCAGGAGGAGCAGCGTCTCTCGCAGCAGCTGCAGTCTGCAGAGGCGGCTGCGCAGCAGAGCGTGGCTGCGCTGGAGGAGAGGATGGCACAACTGGAGGCGGGGGGCATGCTGTGGATGTTGTTCTTCCGGGGTTTTTGATGATACGCAGAACTCAAAACCATTCATGATACATATTACATATATTACATATGTATATAATTATAAGATATTATATATATAAATATAGTTTGTTTATAATTGTCTATTAGGAGAATGTTGCAGGCTAAAGCCTTGGTTCTAGATCAGTTTTTCAAAGAAAGCCTGCAAGATTGGGGGCCTAGTTAGGTTCCCCCTCTGATTAGGATTGATATTGTATATTATATATGTACACACACTGTATATCTAGATACATACACACGTATGGCCATGTAGCACCTACTGGAAGCAGTCACTTACCAAAAATGATGGGACTACAAGCAGAAAAGCAAGCCATGCAAAGTCATTTGTCTATTTCATATGATCCCTGGATGGACCACCCTTTACCAATGACGTTTCTGCAAGGCGTCAGAACAGCGTCAAGCCTCAGCAGATGCAGCAGCGAGCCGTTTGGCATTGCAGTGGGAGGCCCGACCCAGAAAGGTCGTGTATATCACTTTGATGATAGATGGTGTTTTCTAAGTGAAAACATATTCTGGCTGAGATGATGGTATTGAATGACATTAATATGAATTCAACACGTGATGTATGAAAGTGCTGTAATTATAAGGCAATGTAGTGTAGCGCCCTGTGGAAGAATGCAGCCTAAATGCACGGAGTTTCTCGGATTCCTGGCAGGAGGGCAAGCTGCGTATCGAAGCCTGGGTCTACCTTGCAAGTTTGGCATGGGTTGAGGCTGATACAATTGTGGCTATGGGTCAAAATTGGTCCCCCTCAAACAGGGGGATGATTAGTGAGGAAAACCAAAACTTGTGGTTCCCAGTGCCTTAAAGGTTGAACCATACAGGTACACAATATGTGCCCTCAAGGTATTGCCTAACACTTAAAGGGCAGATGTCATGTCGCAAGTTCGGTGCCTCCGAGAGACATGAGCTGACTTTAGCGGCACAAAAAACACGAGAATAGCATATGCAATTTCACATCTGATGGTAGTGATACTGTTGGTGAGACCATTGGAGCCTGACGGTCGCTGGATACTTTTCTGTACAAGAGAGCACTGATCCATGTTTGTATGATTTTTTGTATAATTAACTTATATTTATGATCGCTTCGAACATTAGGATATGTTACGCAACTCGTGACAACGACACCATCCATGGCTCAAAATTTGGACCCCAAGATATTCCAGGAGGAAGCGTGTAGACACTAGAGCTTTAACAGCTGCAATTCTATGATTTTATATCCAAGAGTGAAATCACTTGCCAAACCAATTTCTGTGCTGAATGTTGTCGAGGTGTGTAATTGGTAGGATATGGCGTAGTTCCAAACGCAGTGCCCTTTGGATCGTTGCCTGCCACAAGCCCTGCCAGGCGTTTGGCATGGCAGAGAGGCTGCACAGACATCACCAGTGTCCCGACCAAGGGGAGAGTAGCAGTGTTCGCCCGCGCAATTTGATAAAACGCTGACAAAGAACCCCCAAAGCAACCACTAGGGCTAGGGATAGTACATACTAAAATAATCTAGAATATATGGTTTTCCAAATCCATTTTGGATGAACTAATTCATTTTGTTTGAGCTCACCTAAACTGATTGGTTCCAAGTTCCAAGTCCATTATCACAAACTAGTGACGTGAGACAACTGTGCGAGAAGGTGTTCATCATTTCAAATCGAGAGGGTGGATCCAAGAGTCCTACCTTCCAACTGCCACATGTCATGCCCAATGGGCCTGCAAAGCATGCTTCTAGGCATTCTAGGCATTTCTTTGCTCATTTCAAGACCTCTCGTCATCCACTATAAACCGCTAAGCATAGGAGGTCGCCTGGTGTAACAGATCATGACCGCGAAACACACTGCATAAGGTTGGACATGCATATTCGCCCCCTGCTCGATTTTGAAGGTTAGGAAACCTGCCCGGTTTCATGATTGCTTGTATTTGAGAGGTAGGGAAGATTTCCATTGTACCTGCAGTGAAGAGTGCAAGTTCCGGAAATTCAATCTGCTTGTAGCCGGGTCCCATCACTTTTCTGGTTTCATATCTGGTGTTTCCAGCAGATCTCAGCAGTGACTCCGCAGGATGAAGTTGCTGGGAGCTTGTTCCCATGCATGGTGCCTAGAAGTGCAGCGGAGCCGAAGAGTCTCTTGCGATCAAAATGTGGGATCATTAGTGCAGATGGAGTACCTATAAAGATCCGCAAATCTGGACATCTTTAGTTCTGAATCTGTCCAATTTCGAAGGTAAATCAGTTTTTCGTCGCTTGAAATCAAACCTAGAACCCCAGAAATTGAACTAGAACCCCACAAAAAGTTTGTCACTGACTTCCAAATGCATTCGCTTGGAAGCACTTCAGCAACTGGAAATCGCTTGAAAACTACCGCAAAAGCCCTTAATTAGGTGCACTTGTCGGATTTTGAGCCACAGCAGAATGCTGGGATTGGACATTTCGCTCAGAGCTCGAACTTTGGCACACTGAAACGGTTGTTGACAGAAGCATATAGCCCATATAGCTCACTTTTCGACCAAAGATTCGAAAAGGGGAACCCCTCCAGACACAAATTGACTATCAAAAAAAATCAAAAAACATATCTCGACATATCTCGACCTGGAACATCTTCCAGATTTCCAGGTTCAAATCTCCGTGGCGCCGGAGTTGGGCAGGTGCTGGTTGGCACAGCAAAGGATACGGATCAAACATGATCATTTTCCAAGTTGCATGAAGTTGGAGAAGTTAAATTTGTCAAATTGGTAGTAACCATATGTAATCATTACACATATTATAATCATATTATATATAATCATATTACAACCATATAACCATATTATGATATATTATACACTATCATACTATGTTCATAGTCGTATTTTTGAGCTGCTGACACCGCAGGGACGAGCACTTGCCCGCCGCCGGCGCAGCGGCAGAGGCGCTGCGGCGCGCTGAGGCGCGCTGCGAGGCTGGGCAGCAGCCAGGTGAATCATAGCCGGTGAAATAGGTAATTTTTATTAAACTATACTATATTTATATTATTATATACATTATTTGTATACACATATATATATATTTATATCACATTTTTATGATTTAGTTTCCTCCCCTTATAAACAATGCCCTTGTAAATGGCATGTTGGGAGCAGCCCTGTTGGGTGAAGGAGAGGGACATGGGGGTGGTGAACAAGATCTGAAAGCCATATTAATATTATGTACGGCAGTTCAATATATTTCCTGACAATATCAGCGCTAGGTCGTCGTTTCACATTTTGGGAAATAGGCAGGCCCCATTGATAGGTTTCACCGCAGAGACTTTGATCCACTTCAAGTGATGAGTGTTGGAGTTGGGTTTCTGGGATCCACATCCAGATACAATACGTTGACAAAATGGTGCTAGATCCAGCTAGTGTTGTAGGGTTGATAAAATGGGATGGTTCACCATAGCGCTGGGGTTGTTGTACCCGTTTGAAAGGGGATAGTCACAGCACCATTTTGGGATGGGGTTATAATACAGAATAATAGAATTTCCTAATGGTCTACATACAGTAGATCAAACCGGTCAAACGTCAAAACCTTTGATTTTCCTATCTGATTGGGGGATGAACCTCCATAGCTGCCAACTATTTTGCTGCGAAACCATGGCACCAGGGTTTTGATCCATGTGCATATGGCTCACTCGAGCTAAAAGCGGGTCTGTTGGGGCTGAGGACTTTGTTGATGTGCCCCCAACCATCTATCGCAACTAATTGCAACTTTTGGAGTGGGTGAATCCTGCACCCCCCGAGATCCCCAAGATCTGCTGCTGAGGAAATTTCTCGCCTGCGAAGCCAAGCACTGGAGGTGGGGATGGGAAACTTCAGTACTTGTGATGATGCTGGTTCCCAAAATCACACCAGGTGGGACTACTCAGGTTCGCTTGGGATGAAGAAGAATCCCATTGGACTAGATTTGAGGGCTTGCCGAGTTTTCTCTGGCTAGTGGTTTTAACATGTTTTAAAAGTTGATTCTGAAATGACCAAGCCCCAGAAACGACGGTGTTCATATTAGAAACACAAATTAATGATTAGTCAACTGGAATCGGGATTGACATTTACTTTCATTTACTCTAAATCCCCCAGATGGGTTGGATCTCCTCATTTTTGGTCCCCGGGTTTCCAGGCCGAATTGGTGGCAGCCCTGCGAGAGCAGGAGCAGGTGCAGATGGGCAGAAAGTAATGGCACTGCCTCATGTGTGGGTACCCTAGGGGCAGCTATGGCTGGAAAATTCCCAACTTTGATATCCATTGTAAAGGGTGATGTTCCACTCCAAAACTGGAATTTCTGATTGGATGTGTGATTGTGAGAAATATGTCCACCAGGGGATACAGTACCTAAATCTCTCACAATAAGCTGCAGCAGTGTATAGTAGTAGAGCAAGCACATGATGTTCAGCTTGTCGAAATAATGAGGTTTGGTATAGTTTGGTGGGATAATGGTTGTTGTGGTCCCCAACTGAAAGAGCGATGCACCTGTCAAGTCCTGGGTAAGGAATTCTGCTGTGTATTTTCCGGCTGTAAATACAAGGACTGCTTGTGTATTCTTCTTTTTGAGAAGTGAGTGAGTCTGACTGAGTGCCTTGAGTGCCTTAAATTAAAGGGTGGCTTCTTTTCTTCGCACATTGTGACTGCAAATATTAGACATGACCTCCCGCAATGGTACATGGAGCCCCTTGTCACCACAACACCTTCCGGACACTTTCATGTTGGGATATGTCGGGATGACATGAATTTGAACTAATTTACATATCTCACAAGACTCACAATATGTTTCCATTGGCAACTCATAGCTGGGGACTCTTTTCCAGCACTCGAAGACTTGGCACAGCCGGTGGGTCGGTATAGGAGGACTCCTATGCGCTGACGCCTGCCTGGTCGGAAGGAGTCGAGGAGAACCTGACAACCTGTTGTGGCTAGGGCTTCAGCCAATATCCCTTGTGAGTCATGGGATCCCATGGGTCTGGGTTGACCCCATGCTTAAGATAGATTCCATATTAATATGATTCTATCCTAAAAAAATCCTAAGGTGGATCAAGATGATTAAGCGATTAAGCCAACTATCAGCTTAACATTCTTCATGAACTAATATTAACTATGATTCTCTCCAACTTTTCTTCAGTGCCCTCCTTGCTGCCTTGTTTCTGCAGGAGTCCGTGCCCAGTTCCATGCCCAAAATGGATCCACTGCAGACGGTCCGCCTCAGGCGCCGGTTTTGCGCAGGAAAATCATGAGAAACCAACATGGTTTCACCAACATGGTTACACTGTAAGTTATACTGTAAGTTATACTGTAAGTTATACATGTTTCATCCATTTTCATCAATTTTCATCATGTCTCTGCAGGGTCATTGATTCCCGATTTCCTTGTGCTGTGCATACTGTAGTTGTTTAGCGATCAGTTTCCTTGGGCACAGATACAATGTGCAGACTGTACGAGGAGCAGTATTCTTATGTAAATTCATATGTTGGTGCAACGATTTTGGATTGCTCGAGGAAATACCATTTGTGGATTTTGCGCTGTTATCCTTTGTGATCTTTGTGATCTTTGTGGACATCAGGCAACTGTCGCATTGGGCCTTCGATGGCTTGTGACTTGGTGGGTAGTTGCGTGTGGATGGCTAGTGGCCCGCAGAAGGCCGGTGCCTTCGTGTGGTGCTCTCAACAGGAACAGCAAAATTGGATGTCTCTGTATGGAATATGATGAATATGGCAATGTGACTCTGGCCCCAAATAACCAATTTTCTCCGACAAGAATCCATATTCATACGTGACGTAGTATTCATATTATTGGTTTATGGATGTTTATGGATGTTTATGGATGTTTATGGTTTTCATTTGTTTTCATGCAACTTGGGATATTAACCTGAGCAGATGGGGAGCTTCCCAAACTGTTGGTCGCCTGGACCCTGTTTGTTGCTTCCAGTTGCGTGCGTCCAGATGCCAGCTTGGTCCGCTTGGTTGCTTCTGATTCTGGCTTATATGGCTAACATCCTCATGTTCTTTGAATTTCTTTGATGTCCGCAGCTTCTGCTCTAGTTTTATCCCATGTTTGAGATACTGAGATAATGTTTGTGTCATGATCCTTGATTCATCCTGATTTGTTTCAAAAGGAATTCTTGCTGGTTGTCAATCTTCTGGCTGAGTCCCTGGTTGAATCCCCATGTTTGCCCGTTGACTCACATTTTTTTGCCGCTCTAACATTCTCCAACTCCCTATTCTTCAATGATTGGGGCCATCTACGGCCTCAGGTTCTTCTTGATGAGATCGACCTTTCTTGCCTGGAGCGATCAAAGAAGGCGACGACAGTGCTTACTCAAGGCGTGATGGGGATGTCTCACCATGTCTCAACAACACCTGGATTTTTGGAGAATTGGAAAGTGGTATGGAATCAGCACAAATAGGGGTATGTATTGGTATAATGTATGGGGATGCATGGTGTAAGGAGCCAACCAAGAATTAGGACTTTTAGGAGCAAGCTTTGAGATGATTCGCCCATACAGATGAGGATGTACGGTATAGACGGTATAGAAATCAGGATGTATACTAATGTATACGGATATAATTGGTGATTGAATCTGCAGCCTGTCAGGCTTGGAGCTCAAATTGCACCCTGTTGTCCTCCAGGCCAAATCCGCATGGAACCTGGGATCTTTCTGTTAGATATTGGTGAACTGGTGTGAAATGGATGTTTCCAAATTCTGAATTTGTCATATTTAAGGGCTGCCGCCCCTGCCGCCGACCCCGGAAGAAGTGGCAAGGAAGCAAAGCTGGCAGCTCGACCTTTTTGCTATGTACATCGTTGTGAAATATATTTGATAGGTTTGAATTTTCATGTGTAAATGGGTTTTTCATTTGAGCATGTTAATACTCTGATCTTATGGTTTTATGTGTTCATGGATCTAAGTAACTGTATAATAGTTATATATATATACACAATATTTTTGGCCCTATTATTATACAGTTAATGTTGCGCCGCACAGGTGCATGGTTGCGCCGCACAGGTGCATGATATTTTATCGAAGTATATGAGGGCGTTGTTTTTTTTGATCCCCCACTTTGTTTGTTTGACCTCCCCCGTGTTTTTTTGACCCCTCATGAACGAAATCCGAAATGAAACTCTAAAGAAACTCTCAAGAAACCTACATGAATGTTTGAAAACCTTGACAAGATTTTCTGATAAGAAATTCACATAACACTCGAAATTAAACGCGAAAGGAAATCGGAAAGAATCCCTAAATGAAACTCTACATGAAACCCGACAGAAACGCAAAAGAAACTCGAAATAAAACCCTAATGAAAGTTTAAACACCGTAGGTGAAACCGAAAGAAACCCGAATGAATTGCTGCCAGAAACCCCTACATGAAACACAAAATGAACCCTAAAGAAATCATAAATTGACCTAAAGAAACCATAAATGAAAGCCTGCAATTCAATGCAATGAAATGCAATGCACTGCAATGCAATGCAATGCAATGCAAGGTAATGCAATGCAATGTACTGCAATGCAATGCAATGTAATGGAATGCAATGTAATGCAATGCAATGCAATGTAATGTAATGTAGTGCAATGCAATGTACTGCACTGCAATGCAATGTAATGCAATGAAATGCAATGCAATGTAATCCCATGCAATGTACTGCAATGTAATGCAATGTAAGGCAATGTAATGCAATGCAATGTAATGCAATGCAATGCAATGTAATGCAATGCAATGCACTGCAATGCAATGTAATGGAATGCAATGTAATGCAATTGACTGTAATGTAATGCAATGTAATGCCAAGCAATGTAATGCAATGCAATGTAATGCAATGTAATGCATTGCAATGAAAAGCAATGAAATGTAATGCAATGCAATGCAATGCAGCGAAATGTAATGCAATGCCATGTAATGCAATGTAATGCCATGCAATGTAATGCAATGCAATGCCCTGCATTGCAATGAAGAGCAACGAAAGGTAATGCAAAGCAATGCAATGAAGTGTAATGCAACGCAATGTAAGGCAATGTAATGGTATGCAATGCAATGTAATGCAATGTAAGGCATTGCAATGGAACGCAATGAAATGTATCGCACCTTGAGGCTCTCGACCTTTTTGCCATGTATATCGTTGTGAAATAAATTTGATAGGTTTGAATTTTCATGTGTAAATGGGTTTTTCATTTGAGTACATGTTAATATTCTGATCCTATGGTTTTATGGGTTCATTTTATGGGTTCATGGATCTAAGTAACTGTATAATAGTTAGATAATATATATATATGTATATATACACGATATTTTTGGCCCTATTATTATACAGCTAGTGTTGCGCCGCACAGGTGCATGGTTGCGCCGCACAGGTGCATGATATTTTATCGAAGTATACGAGGGCGTTGTTTTTTTTGATCCCCCACCTTGTTTGTTTGACCTCCCCCGTGTTTTTTTGACTCCTCATGAACGAAATCCGAAATGAAACTCTAAAGAAACTCTCAAGAAACCCACATGAATGTTTGAAAACCTTGACAAGATTTTCTGATAAGAAATTCACATAACACTCGAAATTAAACCCGAAAGGAAATCGGAAAGAATCCCTAAATGAAACCCGACATGAAACCCGACAGAAACGCAAAAGAAACTCGAAATAACACCTTTAAGAGATGTAAATCTCCAGAGAATTCCTACATGAAATTGAAATCCTACTTTTTTTGTTTTATTTTTTCCTGTTTGTATCTTAAATGAAAGTTTAAACACCGTAGGTGAAACCGAAAGAAACCCGAATGAATTGCTGCCAGAAACCCCTACATGCAACACAAAATGAATCCGAAAGAAATCATAAATTGACCTAAAGAAACATAAATGAAAGCCTGCAATTCAATGCACTGCAATGCAATGCAATGTAATGGAATGCAATGTACTGCAATGCAATGCAATGCAATGGAATGGAATGCAATGTAATGCAATGCAATGCAATGTAATGTAGTGCAATGCAATGTACTGCACTGCAATGCAATGTAATGCAATGCAATGAAATGCAATGCAATGCAATGTAATGCCATGCAATGTACTGCAAGGCAATGCAATGTAAGGCAATGTAATGCAATGCAATGTAATGCAATGTAATGTAATGCAATGCAATGCAATGTAAGGCAATGTAATGCAATGCAATGTAATGCAATGCAATGTACTGCAATGCAATGTAATGGAATGCAATGCAATGTAATGCAATGTAATGCCAAGCAACGTAATGCAATGCATTGCAATGAAAAGCAATGAAATGTAATGCAATGCAATGCAATGCAGTGAAATGTAATGCAATGCCATGTAATGCAATGTAATGCCATGCAATGTAATGCAATGCAATGCCCTGCATTGCAATGAAGAGCAACGAAAGGTAATGCAATGCAATGTAATGAAGTGTAATGCAACGCAATGTAAGGCAATGTAATGCTATGCAATGCAATGTAGTGCAATGCAATGCATTGCAATGTAACGCAACGAAAGTCTTGCCCTTCCTACACGATTCGTGTGGTTGCATGTCCCGAAGACAAAACTTGCTACAGGCATTGTTCCATGGAGTCTGTGTGCACACACTGCGAAGTACCAATTTGTTCCTCTTGTTGGAACTATGTGTATCGACATAGGAGCAAACCACCAGCAGCATTGAGCAACGATATGATACTCGGACATCCACCGCGGGAGATCTATGCGCAAGAATGCACTGTCTTAGAACTCTTGTGTGCAAGCCCTTGCATGACTGCCTTGACGTGTTTTAGCATTGAATGGCGCTACCTGCAAGACCGGAGTTTAGCCCAAGATGCATTTATGAACCGGCACCGCCTATGCGCCAAAGGAAATGCAACGACGTTTCCGTTGCCATGGGAAGACTTGTTGTCCGAATTCCAACGTTTAGACGAAAAACTGGCATCGAATACGCCTGCTGGTTGCCTACCGCACGTAGGCAAAGCATTAAGTGACAAAATTGCCGTTATAATAAAAATAGGAGACAAGAAAGACAAAGCAGCGATGCGTCAACACATCATTCACCAAGCAGTTGTCCGGCGTCAGGTCGTTGTGAGATTAATCGCAACAATGGTTGCGCGAAGCCATCCTGCGTACAAAGGAATAGATATGGCACTCGTGGAAGCACGTGCCGAAATGTTACCAGAAAATGACGTTCCCGCCGAAATCATTGCCTTATTGGATAACGATGGGAGTCTTAATCACGTCTTGCGGTAAAAAGCAGCTACGCCCTTCAACGACCAAATGTCTGAAGCACAAGTGAGTTGTGAGTTCGGACGTTTGCTGAAACCGAACGCGGTCGTTGTAGAGAAAACAACTGCAGGATGTCACGATCTAAATGCACAACACGTGTCTGCACTGGAAGACATTGTGACCCGCAGTCAGCCAGCGCCTGCGCAGCCTCTTCCAGAAGTGACACTGTATACGGGCACCAAACTTTTGGATCAATTTCAGCCACTTTACTTTGCTTTAGCCTTTCCTTTTGTCTTCCCATATGGCATTGGTTTGCCTGATGTGCCCAAGTGGAGCCAACGGAAACGGCTTCGACGCCACACGGAAGATCCGCACGTCGAGCTAAATACATGGGTCAAAGTCATGGCGCGACGCATCGAGGCGCAAGTCAGTCGTGATTGGGTTTTTGGCTTTACGTCGTGGAATCTGCTGTTTCGATCAGCTTTGAATCTGTCCCGAACAACGGATGCATACTCGCGGAGCTTCTACGATGAAGAAACGCAAGAGTGGGTGCAGCCGACAGGAAAGCACCTGGAACAGGCGGCACAAGACTTGTTGCTCGCCCTGAAGGGCTCTTATATAGATTTTACAGGTCAACCGCGCCCAATCAAAGGAGATGTCTCCAAGCTCAGATATGTGCAAGGCCTGAAGCCGATGGCGCGAAAATTGTTGACGAACATGCGACATACAGCGCAGGGGTTACCAGGGACACAGGAAGCGCGAAAGAGAATGTGGTTCGAAATCCAGGCGATGCGAATTCGGTATGGGGTACCGTTGTTCGTCACTTATACGCCAGATGAGGCACATCAGTTGCTTTTTGTTCGCATGACACGAGTTCGGGCATCTGATCCTGTACGTGCTGCATCTGTCGCGCAAGATTTTCCAGCCGGCAACATGTTTTTCCCTGATCTCGGCACAGCAAGTGCTGCAACGCCTGGGCCATTTGAATATGAGTTCACGTTACCCATGTCTTGGGCAGAGCGTCGCGAAGTTTTAGCAAGGGATCCTCTGGCCGCAGTGGATGGTTTTCGCGTGCTCACACATTTAATGTTGAAGCACCTTTTTGGTGTGCGTATTTGTCCTTTTTGTCCTGATTGCAACCGCTTTTGTGGCTTAGAGCCCTGTCAAGACTTACGCGGCAGCAATGCAGAGACAAGCGGCGGAATTTTTGGGCGCGTAGATGCTGTCTACATTTCCTTAGAGGCGCAAAAGAGCACAGGTGGTCAGCATGGGCACATGCAAGTGTTTGTTCAATGTCTGCATCAGCATACCTCGCTGGCAGAAATTTTTGAATTTTCACGTCCGCGCCTTGGCGCTTTGCGTCGGGAATACGAAGCATATAACGCCCATGTGTGCCACGCTACCTATGCGGGCCAGTCCCTTGCCGGCATGGATGCGCGAATTGCAGCTGCTGAAGCGTCATGGCCATCGCAT